CCTTTAGGTGCCCTAAGGGTACTAAGCAACCATTGAAGATACCAGATCAGATTCGATTATTCTAGTCTCTCCTTCCCCTTGGCTTGCAAACCACCTCTTCCATTTCTTTAGTGCTTCACCCCAAATTACTTCAGATCCATGGCTCTTATGTACCATGTATGTGGAGTACACTCTTCAGTTGGTTTCTTTCCGTATTCAGGGACCACTCTTAATGCTAGTAACTGATGTCTCTGCCCTGGGTTGCCTTCAGACGCAGGAGTTAAGGTTCACAAAGACTTAACTGACTCTCTACATAAATATAAGGGAGCTGAGAGCGGTCCAGCTGGTGTGCCAGCCTTTCCTAACCTGTATCAAGGGGAAATGCCTAAGCTCTGGCAACACAGCAGCAATGTTTTACTCCACAGACAGGGAGAGGTTTTTTTCATCTCTGCTCGCTCAAGATAGTCAATCTGTGGGATTTTACATAGTCACTTTACTCAATCCTCTAACCTTCCAGAAGCGCAGTCTGAACTTGTAAATCACCTGAGCATGTCATTTAACTCCTCATGAGTTTGTCCTCCTGGGATTTTTTCAGATTTCTCTTCCAGCTCTGTTGGCCTCTGGAAGTGGACCTGTTCACAGTGAGATACACGATGAAGTGCTACCTGTTCAGCACTTATAGTGCTACCTATGACGTAAAGGGTCATAGTCTGGGTTCCCTTACGTGTGTTGCCCTGGACAAGCAAGCTCCTTTGTACTCTTCCGCCAATTCCACTCTTTCACAGAATGCTGCTAAAGATCAAACTGGGCCATGCCCGAGTCTGTCTTACTGCCCCAGATCGGCCTTAGTAGCATTGGGCTCTCCACTCTTCTGTTTCTTTCAGTGTTTCTTTCTTTCATAGATACCACATCCATTAGACAAAGATCTAATTTGACAAGATCATGGACACCTGCTCCCCACAGACTTAAAGGCTAACTGCTGGGCTGCTTCATGATGAGGTCCTAGGGAGGAGTCATATTCAAGAGAAGTTCGTAAAGGGTTGTTGAATAGTCGTAAACCATCTACTAGATCTACTTACCTGTCTAGGGGGAAGGATTTCTCTGTCTGGTCTCACTCCGGAGTTTCACATTCTTTGGTCCAGAATATCTTAGACTATGTATTGTACCTAAACCACCAAAATTTGGCAATTTGTTCTGCCAAGGTCCACCTAGCAGCTATCTCAGGCTTCCACCCTCAGGCTCATAATCAATCTATCCTCTCTAATAAAACATCAGTAAAATTTATGAAAAGTATGGAAAAGTGGTATCCTCCTCCGATACAAGAGCCTGTTGTATTTGGTATTGTCAAAGCAATGGGGCCTCCTTTGGAACCGTTAGCTATCTGGCTTTTTGATAGGCTTTTTGAATTCACGATCTCCTCACTTGTTCATAGGTTGGTCACTTTCTCCATGCAGGTCCCTTACAACTCTTGGGCTGGTTATTTCTGCGCTAGCAGATCAGGCTGCTGGCAAGAACAAGAACAAATTTGTTCCATATCGTGATTCCGTGCTGACTTGGTTACTTAAAGTAAGTGAACTTCTCATATATCTTTGGAGTGGGTGGAAGGGGCTAAGGGAAGAGAACTGTGGTGGGGGGAGAGAGGGAGAATGTCCTTTGCAATGTATAAAATATAATGTATTCCATCATCTAACCGTACTTTTATATGCAGCAGCCTCGCCTTTAAAGATTTAGAAGGGAATTAGCCATTAGTGTCACCAGAGGATACATTTTGCCTTCCCCTGCTTGTTAGGAACAACCCTGTGATGGCTAAAAGTATAGGGCATATTTTTAAAGTGATCTAATACATATTTCAGCTCATCTTTTTCAGTAAACTCACTAACAGCTACACTCAGAACTGTGAGATTGATTTAATCTGGGCCATCTCCTTGTGACCTAAGTTTACACCATGTCAGGGCTGACATGGTTAACTTCCGTGATTTTGAATAAGATGATTAGCCCTTTCCTTCAGCTCAACAGAGGGGTATTTACAAAACTTTCTAGTTTGTAGTCCGGTTGCAATTTCATGCTCATGTGAAATGAGCAATTTTGGAGTCTGTTTCTACATTGCAAATAAGTCTGATTTGAAGTTTACTGTTGTGAAAACAAACTCGATCTAGGAGACCTCATTGACATCTCAGTGAAATAATTTTTCTCCAGCTGCCTCCATATATATATAGTGGTTATAAAGGGTTGGCAAGCTGCAGTTAACCAAAAGAACAGAAGCCTAGGCAGTGATGGGCAGTTTGACTTTAGGAAGATCCTGTTTTCTCCTGATCTTTGAATATGCTACCTCTCGGACAAAAGAATGTGTGATTGCTTTCATATATAAAGTCAGAAGCAAGTGCTTTCTTTATAATGAGATAGATTAGCCTTTCATGGTACAGATCCTGTGACTGACATGCAGATTGGCTAGGCTTTAAAGTAATTGTGTTAGAAGTGCAGACCCAATAGGTGCATTAAGACTTGCCTATCCTGTAATTTGTTTCTGTTTTTCCACATCAAAATTGTGATGCTCAAAACGTTTCTATCAGTCTTAGTTATGAATCTTGACAAGCTTGTATCTTTTCCTTCCTTACTTCGTGCTGTACTTCTTTGCTATCAAGAGGCAATTATGATATTCATTAGTAAAAAGAAAGAAGCTGGAAAAGAAACAAATTTCTTCAGCCATGCAGTCGCTTATGATGGCTCAATTACCCAGTGATGACTAATGCTAGAGCCTGTCCATTTTTGTAGAATGCACCCAGCCTGACAAGCTGCACATAATCTGTAGGTATCTCTTTAAACATAATATGACATGAATCCTCCATTCACGTAGTTTACTTGCAAGTATAAAAAAAACCAAACAGTTGACTGCAGGATATAGAGGTTTTCTTATAATGAAATAAACCAAAAACCCACCAATAGTTGAGTGTCAGTGCAATTCATTGCCTCTTGGAATAGATACAGCAGTGAACTACAAGATCAACCGATATAGCCCCTTTGTCCTATAAGTTTTGATTTTCCCAGTGATTACCTCAAACCATGCCACAATACTGTTTTATAATAGTTAACATTGGGGGACTCAGTTAATAAATATATACTACAGTGGTGATGCTGTATAAAAGCTTCAATAGCACAGCAGAATTGATCAATTTTATTTTTCTTATAACATGCTATATCGTCTGGTCACAATGCTGCCACACACAATATTTATGCTAAAATACAGCCCTACATTTATATTCACTGTCTTGAAGCTTGTTGAAACAAGTATCTTTTGCCGCTCTGCACTGTTGTAATCAACTATGCATGGTTGGTTTGTTTACTGCCATAAGGACACCTATGTATGGGTAACAGAATCCAAGGAAGCAGAAATGGAAACCTTTTCATAGGCTTTCCCATCTTGTTGTTTGAATTTTTATGCTGATTTTCTAAACATAATCCTTCACATAGATTGAGATTCATGGTTAGCATTTGCCCAATACATGGTAACAAAGATGACCATGGCATGCACAATAAAGTATTGCAGCTCAGAAACAGATTTTCGTTAGGCCTTCTTCCAAGCACTTCAATTTTTTTTGGCATGTTCATGCTCAGCCACATTAAAATCCTAGCAAATGCTTAATTAAAAAAAACCCCTCAGTAAAGTGAAACTCCGGGATGAAATTCTTAACCAATGCCTTGTGATAGGTACTTTCATTGTATTTTAAATGAAGTTAAAACTGAAAATTCACCAATTAACAATGTACAAAATTGTTTTTAAGATCTAAGCATTTGGAGAGTGTTATGCAGTGTGGTGCAGGGAGAGAATGTATTCTAATGTTGGCTAGTAGGAATACTTGGGAATAATCTATTTTAAAAGAGTGGCTTTCAACCTATTTGTGGGCGCCTAGGTTAATGTTATTTATTCTGTGAATTTAATCATGTTGAGGATTGTTATGGAAAGCTTCAGTGCAATTTTCCTGAGTGAAATGATCGGACAAATAGTTTTAATGATGCCCAGTGGCAATGTTTGACCTACATTTCATGGATTACTTAAGATTAGAGCTCGTTGGGAATTTTCCATTAGAATGGTTTTCTGATAGGAAAATGACATTTCCACAATTGAAATTATCAATGGGGAAAATAGAAATGAAATTTTTCTTTCAGATTAGTTCCATGCAAATTGGAATAGTTAATTTTTTAACTGATCTCGATTATTGTATTTCTGACCATTTAACAAAATAGTGATTAGTTCCATGCAAATTGGAATATTTAGTTTTTTAACTGATCCCGATTATTGTATTTCTGACCATTTAACAAAATAGTAAACATTTCTCTATCAGGGCATTGCCTTCTGGGAATTGTAGTTCAAGTCCTCATCCTAGTATATAGGAGATGTAATCCTCCAGGAGCCTGGCCTATGAAGCAGTACAGATTTCCCTCTAGCTGTCATTCAATTTCAGGCCTAAAAGTGCAATCTGGAAAAACTGGAAGATAAGTTAAATGGGGACATCACCAAACATGCAGTGATGGTAGACCTATGCGGGGAATTTTTGGTCAGATTGTTCTCAGCTGTTTGTTTTGTTAATACCTATTGTAAATGGCTAATAATTTTTGGTAGAAAAAACCTCTGTAGAAATTCATTACCTTCACCCATTCAGTGAAGATGCATTGAGTTCATGGTAAATAAACTTATACCTTCAGCAATCCTTGAGTAAAATTCAGTATTTAGGAAAAAAGACTGGCATCTACCTTTTTCAATAAATCAGCTGTATCCAAATGAGGGCACATCAGTTAAATCGGAATTTAGACCTGAAAGGAATTTTTAGGCTCAGTCTTCCTGAGTCTCTGCTGTTTAGCTCTGCTGTTACTTCACTTAGCTTGATGAAAGCTGGCTGTTGTAAAGGTGTTGCGTAAAGAATAAATTGATTTTTTTTCTCCCATGTTCAGGCTATGCACAGAGAGAGAGTTGCAGGGACCACCCTTTCGTTATGTCTAGTCTACGTAGAATTTTCGAAAGAGGATATGCAAATTCCACGGGAATTTGCATATCTTCTTCCAATCTCACTTTCTAAAGAGGATCTTTCTAAAGTGAAAGTAGTCTGGACGCGGTTTTTTCAGGGGGAAAAACCCCTTTTTCGGGGGGGAAAAAATGCTCTTTCTAAAAAAAAAAAAAGGAGGTTTCTTTCAATTTCAAAAGATCCTCTTTCGAAAGTGAGATTGGAAGAATTCTGTTGGAATTTGCATATCCTCTTTCGGGGAAAAAAAAGTAGTTTAGATGTGCCCATAATGTTTATTGAAAAGGGTGTAGAAGCTATTTCATATTTAGCTAGAAGCCATTCTGTATAACAAAAGCCATTTCAGTTTCTTGTGTCTGCACGAGGGAGTGAACTGGCCTTCACCGAGGTGGGGAGAGACCAAAGGGATGCGCTGTTGAAATGTGTTGTTAAACTATTTTGAGCTGAAGCTCGAACTCCCTTTTAACCTGTTTCTTTCTCTACTAATAATAATTCCTCTTTGAAGTTCGCTTTGGTTTCTTGCCCTGACGTCAGACTTGTTTAGTTAAGGGTATAAAATACTAGGATTAATTGTATTAGCCAGCCTTACTGGACCCGGCTTTGCTGAGACCACGTTTGGCTCACTTTGCTTTTATTGGCCAATAAAACTGTCTGTTTAGCCGCGTAAACTGAGTGAGGCGTTTGCTTCGACAAGGGCCTTCATGAAAACAATGTATGAATACCCAGGGATTGTGGGGAACAAGACCAAGGATAGTGGAAGATTCTGGAACATGTAATTGGATTAGAGCTAGTATCCTCCTCTATCTTCCCAAATCGTAGTTCTTGTCCATCAAGAAGAAAAGCCATTGTATCAAGCTACTAGTTCCTCCCATCTGTAAGAGAAGCACTAACTTTTCCCATTTGTATCAGATTCTCGTGACTTCACTGAACAGAAATGTTCTGCAGAGTTTAGAGCAGGGCTACTCAATATATGAAGCCCCGGGGGCCACAATAATACTTATAGCACCGAGGGCCGCAACTTAAGTGTGGTGGCATATACGTGCAAATAGCCTCTTTCACATTGACAGGCATAAATACAAAGATTAAGGCAAGACTACACAACACACAGGCCCATTTAAGTCAGTTCTGTTGATATGAATAAAATACAATATTTACCCGATTTCCACCCATATGACAGCACTTTTAATGAACAATGACAATCGAAGAATTTAACTACTAAAACGGATATCAACAGAAGACAATTATATTGACTATTTTTTTTTGTTTTGGCTCCTACCCGCGGGCTGTGTGTTGAGCCCTGCATAAATGCAAACTTCACCGTGGACCACAAACAAACAGGCCCTGGGCCGTCTGTGGCCCACGGGCCACGTGTTGAGTGGCTGTGGTTTAGTCTCCTTGAGTGTCTGCCTGGGAAACTGCAATAATTACAAATACTACATTTTCAAATTCACAATGAAAATTCAACTATCCCAAAGTAACAGCATTGCATTTCCTAATGTGCATATAAAAATTTAGTCTGTCAATTAATCACAGTTGATCCATGTGAACAACAGAAAACAGAAAAAGTAGATATAAAGAATAGTTGCCATTAACTGCAGTTTTAATTGCATTGTTAACATAGAATACCAATTTAAATGTATTTTAAATAAATTTGGATTTTTTCTAAAGTTTCAAATGTAACTAAATCAATATAACAGAATACAAAGAGTACTTTATATATGCACTGTAGTAAAGTTAAAATAAATATTTTTCAGTTCTCCACATAAAGGTCCACTCAGACAACATGTTTAGAAATGATTTGGAAAAACTGGTAAATAGTGAATTGGCAAAATTTGCAGATGATATAAAACTACCCAAGATAGTTAAGTCCAGTGTTCCCTATAAGCAGTGAACTTGTGTGGCTGTTCAGGAGAAATTCAAATGCTGCCCTGCTGATTAGCAGAGCGCCCATAGCTAGGTTTTATGTTTCTATTGGTGGTGCACATTCACACACACATCGGTGCACATAGCAAAATTTATTCGGCGCATGGATGGAAAAAATCTGCACATGGATAGAAAATATTGGCAGGAACATTGGTTGTCCCAAGCAGACTCTGAAGAGCTACAAAAGGATCTCAGAATTGTGTGACTAGGCAACAAAGTAGTAGATGAAATTGAATGTTGATAAATGCAAAATAATGCACATTGGAAAACCTAATTCCACATATACATATAATATCATGGCATCTAAATCAGCTGTTACCACTCAAGAAAAATATCCTTGAGTCATTGTGGTTAGTTTTCTGAAAATATCCACTCACTGTGCTACAATAATCAAAAAAAGCAAACAATGTTAGGAATCATTGAAAAAGAGAGGTTATAAAACAGAAAATATCAAATTGCCTGTATATAAATCCATGATACTCTCACATCTTGAATACTGCAAGCAGATATGGTCACCACATCTCAGAAAAGATGTATTGGAATTGGAAAAGGATTAGAATAGGTCAACAAAATGATTAAGGTTATGGAGCAGTTTCTTTGAGGAGAGATTAATAAGACTGGGACATCTCAGAGTGAAAAAGACAACTGAAGGGGGATATGATAGAGATCTATAAAATCATGATGTGAGAGAGTAAATAAGGAAGCGGTTTTACTCCGTCTCATAACACAAGAACTAGGGAGCATCCAATGAAATTAATAGGCAGCAGGTTTAAAATAAACCAAAGGAAACATTTCACATAGCACAGAGTCAACCCATGGAACTCTCTGCCAGAGAATGTTGTGAAGATCCAGATTATAGCAGGGTTAAAAAAAGAATTAAATAATTCATGGAGGATAAATCTAGCCACGGCTGGGCGGGGATGGTGTCCCTAACCTCTCTTTGCCAGAAGCTGGGATGGGTGACAGGATGAATTACTTGATAATTCTCTGTTCTGTTCATTTCCTCCGAGTGCCTCTGGCATTGGCTACTGTCAGAAAAAACAATACTGGGTTAGATGGACCTTTTAGTCTGATCCATCCTTACGTTCTTATGTCTTGCTTCCTGTTCAGCCAATCACATTTACGGCAAACAATGTTTCCTGCTTCTTGTTTACAGTGTGACTTTTGAAAGTGAGAATAAACGCTCGCGTGGCACTTTTGTAGTCAGGGTTGCAAGGTATTTATGATCCAGATATACTAACCGTTCTTATGCTCTTCATGCTTTGACTTGTGAACTTCAAAGTTTAGCATTGTTTTGGTTTTGAGTGCTGTTATTTAAAAAAATTCTACGTTTGTAAATTGCACTTTCGTGATCGTGTATACTGTAGTTCTTGTATGAGGTGAATAAAGTGAAATTGATATTCTGTAATTGTTTAACAGTCTGATTAAAACTGTTAGTCACTTTTCAATCTTGTGATTAATTGCAATTATTTTCTTTAATCCTTACCAGCCCTAATTAAAATTTGTCAATTTAAATGGCAACCACCTTTTCAATTCCTATGACTTCAAATATTTCTCATCTGTGAATATTGAAGTGGATTACGTTGCACTAGCTAAGAAGAGGACGGTCAAGCTGATTTATGTCATGTTTATATCCAGTGTTTGTATTAAGCTAGAAGAAAGTCTTAGCAATTAAAATCAGCAAAATGGTCTCCGAATCCATTTAATAAGTGGCCCATAAACTGATTGTGCATAGTGTGGTATTACATGGCACTTAGTGTTGCAAGTGCCACGTTGGCTACATTTACACTGAGACAAGGGTTCTCAACCAGATTATCAAGACCATCCCCTCCTTCTCATCTTGCAAGATAAGAGAGGAGGCCCAATACGTAAGCAGGGGTCACCATATGGAATAGATGAACTACTGCACTGTTTTTTCCTTTTGGCTCACAGACTATGGATATATGACCTCAATTACTGTAGTTCCTAGGTGGGGTTATCTTTATGGCACCTTTTAAGTGATGTCCACTTTTTGAGAAATGCCTTAATTTTTCTTTTGGGGAAAGCTTTTCCTTTTTGGAAGATCTGTTTTTGTTGTGTATGAAACAGTTTAGATGCCATTCTGAGTGTAGCCAATTCAAGCTACAACTTGTATTTAAACAAACAAACCCTATAAAACTTTGTATGATAAATTAGTCCTCTTCAATCTGTTTTTTTAAACAGCCTCAAGCTATTTACCTTGTTGGACAAATATTCCATTCGGTATTTCTACAAACCCTTTATTGAACAAGTGTTTATTATTAGCCTGGTTTCCAGTTTGCTGATTAAAATGATGAACAGCAATATACTGTTTTCTTGCGGGTGTAACTTTTGTTGCAAATCTTTTATAACTGTCTGCTTCCGCAGGCTATGCGGTCTCATCATAGACACGCTTGTAAGAGGAGAAGACCCCATCAATGTGTTTAACTATAGAACACAGAGATACAGTCAGCAGAGGTCACAGGAATGGGTACATTGTATCATCTTCTGTGTCCCGTACGATATCCATTGGCTCAGAGATTATTTCCTGTGGATGCAGGAAGTGCTACTGCTGGCTTGAAGATCTGCCAGTGGTAGAAAGAAGTTTTGAAAGCTAGTAGAAAAGCTTTGAAAAGCTGCTGAATCAGCAGTTTTTGCTATATTGGCTATGCCTATTTTGGAGCTGGTTGCATTGTCTCTTAGGGTTTCTCTTCCCTTTCTCTCTCCCCTCAAAAGTGCAGTTACAGCCACTGCAACATATTTCCTAAGTCTGGAGACCTCCACGAGAGCTTGGTGTTGAGAACTACTAATTAACCTACAAAAATATAGATTGAATGAGGCCCTACATTTATCTACAGTAGTCCCTGAAAATCCTCCCTGCCATCCAACTGCTATTGCAAGATGGCCAGATCCGTTAGAATTACTTTTAAAAAATCTACACTCAGTATTTGTGGAAGTTGCCGTTCTGTGTGTGAACATGGAATGACCCCCTAAACCAATAAAAGCACCTTGCCCTCTGATGGAACAGAGGCCACTCTTACCTGGAGATGAACTTGACAGCTCTGAGGAGTTGTCCTCTGTCTCACCCATAGAATAAACATGGCATAGGTGTGACGTAGTGGGGGTACCTGGCTGGTTTCTATGCTGCTGGCTCTGGGGGAACCCCCACTGGCTGCCGTGGGTACCACGACCCAGCAAAACAGGATGAGTCACTATGCAAACCAGTGGCCAGACACCCCCCATGGAGAGGAACAAAGGAAGGTGGAATGCTGCCTTGGCTGGGGGGCAGGGCTGGAAGAGAGTTAGTTGGTTGGTGGCTGTCTGTGAGGATGGATGAGACAGCCTAGGGAGAGGAGCTGGAGTTTTAGGGGCCCAGTCTCCCCCATCTCAAGGGGGCCTGAGGCATCCTAGCCCAGTTCCTGTAACCAGATTACATCTGTGCTGCGCTGGGCTGGAGGAGCAATAAACCACCCTCAATTCCACTGGCTGGTACAGTCTGTTTGTGCCATTTCGGGGTGCAGGAGACGGGGAACCCCCAACGCGCCGTCACAATAGGTAACATCAATGCAATTTTCCTTCATCCATGCTCAAGAGAGACTAGTAAGGGCCAAAAAAGTAGTTGAGACTCCATGATGCAGTCCTTGGCCAGTCTGTTTAGATGGACAATGATGATCTCAGCAGTTACAGGCCTGACTTTTCAGAGCCTTCAATGAGATTGTCTGTATCTACCTGGAAGATGGTGTGTGTCTGCCTTATGCTGTTGCTTGCTTCATTCTGTTTTAACATTGACATTCTGGACTAGTCAGAGAGGCTCATGACTTCCTGAAAGAAAATTTTCATAAGAGGCTTCTTTTCTTTCTTTCAGATGATATATGGGATAGGTACCAATAAGAGACCAGCAAACCAGTATACATAGGCCACCAAGTAGCCTTTGGGTGTAAACAGCTTTTAGTTACTATCTACATGGACTGGATTTGAACTGGTGGGCTTGAAGTAAAAGGCGCTTTCAATACAAGTCCCCTCCTGTATTCTTTGGTGCTTTTTTATTTTTCCGTTTATTTTTTAAAAGCCTGATCTCAATTTTTTTTCCCTTTGTCCTCTTCTAGGATAGCCTTGGTGGTAACAGCAAGACTGCCATGGTGGCAACAGTCAGCCCAGCAGCAGATAACTATGATGAGACCCTTTCCACGTTGAGGTACGCGGATCGGGCCAAGAACATAGTTAACCATGCCGTGGTGAATGAAGATCCTAATGCCCGCATCATCCGAGAACTCCGAGAGGAGGTGGAGAAGCTCCGAGAACAGCTCACCAAAGCCGAGGTACAATTTAAATAGGTGTTCATGGCTCCGGTGTGTATCCTGTTTTATATTGCTGCTGAGACGCTTTCTGAGTATTGTGTCTGGGCTTGAAGGTAAACATTGGTAAGGCAACACTACAATGGGGTCTATGGAGAAAATCCATGTTGTCTTTCTTCACCTCACTGGTTTTCCTCTGATTCATATGAGGCTGGTCAGTGTTAACTAGTGGTGTTGCCTGATCTAAGATTGGAGAAAGGCTGTTCTCAGTAGTGACAGATGGCAGAACAAGGAGCAATGTTCTCAAGTTGTGGTGGAAGGTCCAGGTTGGATATTAGGAAAAACTATTTCACTAGGAGAGTGGTGAAGCACTGGAATGGGTTACCTAGGGAAGTAGTGGAGTCTCCATCCCTAGAGGTGTTTAAGTCTCGGCTTGACAAAGCCCTGGCTGTGCTTAGAGCAGGGGGCTGGACTTGATGACCTTCTGAGGTCTCTTCCAGCTCTATGGTTCTATGATTCTATGAATTTCCACTTACCACCTTAAGGTTCACAGGTTCTTTGTCTCAAGATCAGGCCCAGTATTCAAGTATTCAAGCATTGTACACACAATGTTTGTGATTAATTTGTGCATCAAACTGAGGTTGTGTCTAGACTACAGGGTTTTGTTGACAAAAGTGGACTTTTGTCGACAAAACCATACCTGCGTCCACACTGTCTTTGAGTTATGTCGACATAACGTTGACAAAACTCAGCAGTTTTGTCGACGTATGTAAACCTCATTCTACGAGGAATAACGCCTTTTATCAACAGAGTTCTGTCGATAGGCATTATTGCATCTACACTGTCCTTTGCATCCACACTATTATGTCGACAAAGCAGCTTGCTTTGTCGACAGAACTGGATGTAGTCTAGACGCTCTTTGTCGACAGAAGCTTTGTCGACAGTATCTGTCAACAAAACTTCTGTCGACAAAACCCTGTAGTCTAGACATACCCTGAATGGGATCGTGGAGGAGCATGATCTAGTGGTTAGAGAACAAGGCTAGGGATTTAGGGTAGTTTTGGGCTCTGTTCTGAGAGGACGCTAAACAAGTTGCTGTGATTATGGCACTGGCCAAGTTATTTAATCTGTGTCTGTTTCTCATTCTGGAAAATTGAGATACTACTACTACCACCACCACCAGAGGGGTGTTATGGTGCTCAATGGTGGAGACTTTCAAAAGTGACTGGTGATTTTTTTTTTTTTTTTTTGGTGCTTCAGGTTTGGGCTGTTTAAGTTGAGATTTTAATATGCTGAGCACCCCCCCCCCCCTTTAAAGTATCTCAAGTTAAACACCCCAAATCAGTACTCACTCTTGAGGACAAAAACAAACACCAACAAAAACACACACATGCCAAAATTTTCAAGTGCTTGGAGATCCTTGGAGTAGTATTGTGTGTTTATTTTATGATTTTTTTCCCTAGCCGGTTGCTTGATAGAAAGGAATAAGTGCCATCATAGTGGAAGCCAGCTCTCTAAAAGTAATATAGCATAAGTGATCAGTCCTTTTCTGTGTCTTAAATCTGACCCCCTACCACCACCTCAACGGAATTGATACAAAATACAAAAACGTTATACAGCTTGTAGCTGAACTCAGCATTGTGAAGATCTTCCTCTCCAGCTTATTGCATCTGTATGTGTCCTAATCATTTTCTTAGAAGTATATGTAAATGGTTATTTAAAAAAATGAACAAAATGTTTAGCGACATATGTACAGTCACAGAATTACATTCTAAAGTACACTTCTAAATTGAGAGCTTACACTGAAACTGAAAGGAAAAATACACTGTATCTCACTTACTCAAATAGCTGTAGCAGAACAATTATCTCTCACTTCCATTTTTTTACTGGACAAATAATTCCTCTGTTGATCTTTTTATTTTATCTATACTAGTTGAGTCAAGTTAACCTAACTCTTTTGGAACTCATTCCAAAATGTGGTACTGTGGTCACACTAAATCCACCAACATTTCTGTGCTGATCTTGGGAACTAAACAACCAGCTATTTCAGACTCACTCAGGATGCACCTGTTTTCCTATGTTCTAGTTTTCGTCTCATGTATCTGAGATCTTTGTACTTTGTTCTTATGAATATATAATGTTGTCCCCTTGGTGTGCTCACAATATAAGGTTAATAATGGTTAGTGCTAATTTTATGTATCTCATGCAACCAAAAAATCCTCTCTGAAGTGTAGGCATTTTTGATCTCTCTACTAATGGAAAAGCAGAGATGGATGTTAAGTGATTTGCATAAGACCATATTAAATAACCAAAACAGGTATAGAACTTGAAAATAAATTATTTCCAACTTTGTGCTTTGCCCACTAGATCCCATTGCCTTTGCTTAATCAATACTTTATTAGAATTAGGCTTATTAGACCTTTGTTGTAGAGACTGCAATGGCTTCCCTTTCATTCATGGGTACATCCCATGCTTTTGATTTTTGAGCAATGAATTCCTTATGATTTAGCCCCTAACTGCCCTTCCATGGGAAAAATCATTGAGAAAGTGCTGGCAGGCCAGCTCCAGTGCTTCTGACCACAAAATGGGCTTGTCTGTGGTTGATTTCTTCATGGCGATGGGAGGACTTCCTGTAATGTATTTAGAGTAGGGCAGATAAGCTATTCGAGGGTCTGTATTTGGAACTGCTAACTACTTTCTAAATCAAAAAACAGGGCTATGTAGCACTTTAAAGATTAACAAGGTGGTTTATTAGCTTTCATGGGCCAGACCCACTTCCTCAAATCAAATAGGGGTCTGGCCCACGAAACTCATCACCTAATACACCATCTTGTTGGTCTTTAAAGTGCTAAATAGTCCTGTTTTTTGTTTCAGCTAGACCGGACTAACATGGCTACATTTCTATCACTATTCTACTTTCTGAATGATATCCTTCCTGCCTTGTCCATCCACTGACTTTGATCTTTATCCACTCAGGTTTAGTACCCTTTCTCCTGATAATTTATGCATAGAGGTAGGGAGGTGGGTGACAGAACATCTTTCTCCCCCTCCCCCACCTTCCCTTCTCCTATTTATTTCGAGTTTCTTTATCCTCTAATCATAACTCTGGTCATCTGAAGAAGTGGGCTGTGCCCACAAAAGCTACATTTTAAAGGGAAACAAGAAGACCTTTTATAAATACATTAAAAGCAAGAGGAAGACCAAGGACAGGGTAGGCCCACTGCTTAGTGAGGAGGGAGAAGCAGTAACAGGAAACTTGGAAATGGCAGAGATGCTCAATGACTTCTTTGTTTCAGTCTTCACCGAGAAGTCTGGAGGTGTGACTAACGTAGTGAATACAAGCAGAGAGAGGGTAAGTTTAGAAGATAGGATACACAAAGAACAAGTTAAAAATCACTTAGGAAAGTTAGATGTCAGCAAGTCACCAGGTCCTGATGAAATGCATCCCAGGATACTCAAGGAGCTGATAGAGGAGCTATCTGAGCCTTTAGCTATGATTTTTGAAAAATCATGGCAGACAGGGGAAATTCCAGAAGACTGGAAAAGGGCAAATATTGTGCCCATCTATAAAAAGGGGAATAAGAACAACCCAGGAAACTACAGACCGGTCAGTTTAACGTCTGTCCCAGGGAAGATAATGGAGCAGGTAATTAAGGAAATCATATGCAAACACTTGGAAGGTAATAAAGTGATAGGGAATAGCCAGCATGGGTTTGTGAAGAACAAGTCATGCCAAACTAATCTGATAGCTTTCTTTGATAAGATAACGAGCCTTGTGGATAAGGGAGAAGCGGTGGATGTCATATACCTAGACTTTAGTAAGGCATTTGATACGGTCTCGCATGATATTCTTATTGATAAACTAGGCAAATATAACTTAGATAGGGCCACGATAAGGTGGGTGCATAATTGGCTGGATAACCGTAGTCAGAGAGTTGTTGTTAACGGTTCTAAATCCTGCTGGAAAGGGATAACAAGTGGAGTTCCTCAAGGGTCTGTTTTGGGACCCGTACTGTTCAATATCTTCATCAATGATGTAGATATTGGGATAGAGAGTACGCTTATTAAGTTTGCAGATGATACCAAACTGGGTGGGGTTGCAACTTCTTTGGAGGATAGGGACATAATTCAAAATGACCTTAGCAAGTTAGAGAAATGGTCAGAGGTAAACAGGATGAGGTTTAATAAAGAGAAATGCAAAGTGCTCCACTTAGGAAGGAACAATCAGTTCCATACATACAAGATGGGAAGCGACTGTCTAGGAAGGAGCATGGCGGAAAGGGATCTAGGGGTCATAGTGGACCACAAGTTGAATATGAGTCAACAGTGTGATGCTGTTGCAAAAAAAGCAAATATGATTCTAGGTTGTATCAACAGGTGTGTTGTAAGCAAAACTCGTGAAGTCATTCTGCCGCTCTACTCTGCACTAGTTAGGCCTCAGCTGGAGTACTGTGTCCAGTTCTGGGCGCCACATTTCAAGAAAGATGTGGAGAAATTGGAAAGGGTACAGAGAAGAGCAACAAGAATGATTAAAGGTTTAGAGAACATGACCTATGAAGCCAGGCTTCATGAACTGGGCTTGTTTAGTTTGGAAAAAAGAAGATTAAGGGGGGACATGATAGCGGTTTTCAAATATCTAAAAGGGTGTCACAAGGAGGAAGGAGAAAATTTGTTCCTCTTGGTTTCTGAGGACAGGACAAGGAGTAATGGGCTTAAAGTGCAGCAGGGGAGGTTTAGATTGGACATTAGGAAAAAATTCCTAACTGTCAGGGTGGTCAAATATTGGAATAAATTGCCAAGGGAGGTGGTGGAATCTCCCTCTCTGGAGATATTTAAGAACAGGTTAGATAGACATCTGTCAGGGATGGTGTAGACGGAGTTTGGTCCTGCCTTGAGGGCGAGGGCTGGACTCGATGACCTCTCGAGGTCCCTTCCAGTCCTATGATTCTATGATTCTATGTTTTGTTAGTCTATAAAGTGCTACCGGATCATTTGCTTGCTAGTTAAACTTGGTAGATTCATTTTATATATAGCAGTGCATGAGAGAAATGGTAGTGGTGAGTGATTTGGTTAAAAGTATCAAGCGAGATTAACTCTCTCTGCGGTAGGAGCGGGGGTTAAGTTTCCTTTATTGACCTTTTGAGTTGATGTGCCTAATCTAGAGAGACAATCCTAGGTGTTACTATAAAGGAATTCAGTGTCTTGTTTTTCTCTTTTCAGGCTTTGAAATCACCAGAATTAAAGGAACAGTTGGTGGAGTCCGAGAAATTGATCCAGGAAATGACTGTCACCTGGGAAGAGAAATTAAGAAAAACGGAGGAGATAGCACAGGTTTGCTCTTTCTTTGATTTTGGCAGTTAAGAAGAAAATCTGATTACTTCCTTTGTTTATCTCTTTGTAATAGTTGTCAGGATATCCCTTCACATTTGTGGGTAAGTAGGTCAAGTGCATTGCCCTTTTAAAGGACTTCTGCTGAATTCCCCAGAGAGACAGTGACATCACATATTACTGTCCTGGGGACAATAATAAACATTCAGACTATGCAAATTGAGAGATTGTGTTAAAAAAAATTGTGCGTGGAGAGGATTAGAGGGATTTTACATCTTTCAGATAGCGAAATTGTTGACTGATTATGGAGTGTGAGTGCATTGAATACAGGGTTAGTTGCTGAATGCCTCAAAAAAACAAAGTTAAGGAGCATTCAGAATATTACCAAATAACTAAACTTGTCTTTTTTCCTTTTCGAAACTTTCAAAAAAAACCTGTATAGTGGATACCACTCTTATCCCTGAGGTTTAGAGCAGTGGTTCCCAACCATTTTGAGCATACAGACCCCTTTTCAATCTATTAAAATTTCATGCCCCCTGCCTTCCTGGGGGAGATAAAAAAAGAAAAGGGAAGAAAAAGTAAAGAAAAATAAAAGAAAATTAAGGAGTGGGTCCAGCTCGGTGGGCCTGATCCTTATTTTTAAACTTTCCACGGACCACAGGTTGGGAACCAGAAGATTCAGCACGTAATAGCAGAGAATGAAGTTGAAAGGTTTTGTGCCATTCACTACGGGATTTTCCATCCTTACCTAACAAATCTTAACGTAAGCACTTGTGCTGAGAAACCTATTGAAAGCTGATAGAGCTTATTAAATAGTGAGAAAATATAATCCTGTGATACAAAAAGTGCTTTCGTAGGCGACATCAGAAATGAGGTTAGCTTGTTGGCCTCAGACCTCTTGAAAGAAATGTTATTTACCTTCTTTTCTTTCTCCTTTGAAATTCTTAACCTGTTATAACATGTTTATAGAGCTGAGATCTTCGAGAGCCTTATAGATGCTGAAAAAAGTGACATGTTGGCAGTGAAATAATAAGTAGTGCTAGTGGAATGCTAACTTTAAATGGTTTAGTTATTAAGCTGTGTCAAGTGGAGTGATTTATTTTTTGTTTTGTGGCTTCTATCCAACCTGCATTTTAGAGGGGGAAAAAATGTAAAGGTGCAAAACCTCACTTCCATATCAAACCTTTTACCATCTAAGTTGGTTTGCTCATGACAAATACTCTCACTTTTGCTGCATCAGGTTTAAAATAGTAAAGTCTCAGGGTTGTGTTTTTCCCCCTAATGCTATTTGAAAGCAAAACCGTGTTTTCAGCTACCATGATTCTTTTGTAAAATGGTGTGAGGGGTTTTTCAAAAAGTGCTAGCTTATTGGGTTCTTTAATACAAACTCTACATCTTCAGTTACTGTAATAGCTCTTCCATACGAGGAAGCATTAATAACCTAAATATACAATTCCAAGACCAGAGAAGATTCAGTGTGATAGAAGTGTCAGGAATCCACCTTGTCCTCCCCAGTAGGGTTGCCAGGTGTCCAGTCTTGACCTGGACAGTCCGGTATTTTCACCTCCTGTCCGGTGGTAAGATTCAGAAAATACCAGACACCTAAAATGTCCAGTATTTTCTGATTTTTTTTGTTTGTTTTTCCCCAGCCAAGAGGCGAAAATCCCAGGTGCTTACCTGATTCTGCAGGAGAGCTGTCTGGCCCGGAGCAGGGAGACAAAATGGTGGATGGCCACCTGTTAGGGCCAAAAAGCCTCAAAAGCGTTTCTTAAAGGGGCCACACTGTTTCTTTTTTCCTCAACAACTTTGGTGTCCCCCTTTTTTTTCCCCAGCAGAATTTTTTCCCCCACTGGCTTTTTTTGGAGGGTTGGGTGGGGTCTTCGATATAGTTGGTTAAACCATCTGGCAACCCTACTCCCCAGGTGCATGAGGAAAGGAAATATTCTAAATGCCCAATATTGGACTAGGGATGTAAAATTCAAGTTAATCAGTTAAATGTTAACCAATTAAGCAGGATCTGGGTTGGGGACCATTCCAGCCCAGTTGGAGTAGTCCCCAGACCCACGCAGGCATGCTCCCCGCCTCACACTGGGTCTGAGGCTGCTGCTGGCTCCTGGCTTGCAACCGCTGCTGGCGCTGCCCTTGCCTGTAGGACACCAGAGCCTACCGTGGACAGAGGCTGCACTGAACAAGAGCAATCCCTCTCCATGGCAGGCTCCCTGTGGGGCTGGAGCAGCCCACTGCCTGTGGCAGGCGGGTTGTTGCTTCAGTCCCTACCAGTTAACTGACTTATCCTTTCACATCCCTAAATTGGGCACAAAAGCATGGTATTGAAAGAAATGTAGTGAGATGTGGTGATGGTGAAAAAGGTTATTAAAACATTATGGAGAATTAAATAAATGGCTATTCTCCCAACAATTTAGAAGCATAAAATAGAGGAAGAACAAGTTAAAAAATTATTTAGGCAAGTTAGTTGTCTTCAAATCATCAGGGTCTGATACAATATATGGTTTAGAATACTCGAGGAGTTGACTGAGGAGATGGCTGAGCCACTAGCAATTATTTTAAAGTCAGGGAAGACTGGAGAGATTCCAGAAGATTAGAAAAGAGCAAAAATCTTTTAAAAGATGAATAAGAACAACCTGCAGAATTAAAGATCAGTCAGCTTTACTTCTGTGCCAGGAACGATAATGGAGCAAATAATTAAGGAATCCATCTAAAAACATCTGGAAGAAATTATTTGAAGCCAACCTAATAGCTTTCTTTGACATGTTAACACACCTTGTGGGATGGGTGAGGGGGGTGGCAGATGTGGTATATCTTGACTTTAGCAAGGCTTTTGATAACTGTCTTGCATGACCATCTCATAAATAAACTAGGGAAATGCAACCTAAATGCAGCTACTACAAGGTGGGTGCAAAACTGGTTGGAAAACCATTCCCAGAGAATAGTTATCAGTGGTTCAGAATCAAACTGGAACGTATCAAATGAGGATACTTTTTGTGTCTGGGTCTCTTCAATTTTTCATCAGTGATTTAGAAAATGGCAGCTAGTACACGCATAAAGTTTGCAGATGATACCAAGCTGGGAGGGCTTTCAAGTGCTTTGGAGGATAGGATTAAAATAAAAAATGATCTGGACAAACTGTAGAAATGGTCTAAAGTAAAGAGGATGAAATTCAATAAGGGCAAAGGCAACATACTTCACTTAGGAAGGAACAATCAGTTATACACAATCAAAATAGGAAATGACTACTTAAGGAAGAGTGCTGTAGAAATGGGCATGGGTGTCATAGTGGCCCATGAGCTAAATATGAGTAACAGCATAACAATATTGCAAACAAGCAAACATCTTTCTGGGATATAATAGGAGTGTGGTAAGCAAGGCACTAGCTTCGACACTGATTAGGCCTTAAGTAGATTATTGTTTCTAGTTCTGGGTGCTGCATTTCTCCAGTTTTATTGGAAAAATAGATTTGTTTAGTCTGGAGAAGAAAAGACTGAGGAGGAACATAACGGTTTTCAAGTACATAAATGGTTGTTACAAGGAAGAGGAAGGAAAAATTGTCCTCAACCTGTGGTGATGGGACAAAAAGTAATGGGCTTAAATTGCAGCAAGAGTGGTTTAGGCGGGATATTAGGAAAACCTTCCTAACTCTCAGGATAGTTAAGCTAAGGAACAAATTGCCTAGGGAGGTTGTGGAATCTCTGTCAGTGGAGATTTTTAAGGACAGGTTAGCCAAACACCTGTCTGGAATGGGCTAGACTTAGTCCAGACGTGAGTGCTAAGGACTAGACTAGATGACTTCATGAGATCCCTTCCAGTTCTATGATTGCTGTTTGCTGCAATGTTGACATTTTTTAGTTATTGTTGTGTTTTTTTAAAATTTTTGGTATGATACAGGAACTCTGGCTCTTGTTTCGTTTTAGGAATCTTGCCTGCTTCCGACCAGGATTCAAATCTTTCATTGGCTTATGGGTCCTGCCTGTCATGATTTTTATAAACTTCTAGCATATCTTCCCTTAGTCTCCTCTTTTCTAAGCTGAAAAGTCTCAGTCTTTTTAATCTCTCTTCATATGGGACCCATTTCAAACCTCTAATTGTTGTTGCCCTTTTCTGAACCTTTTCCAATGCCAGTATATCTTTTTGGAGATGAGGCAACCACATCTGTACGCAGTATTCAAGATGTAGGCGTACCATAGATTTCTATAGCGGCAATAAGATATTCTCTGTTTTAGGGTACATCTACACTATTTTGAAATAGCTAGTGTTATTTTGAAATAACTTAGTCCGCGTCTACACAGCAGGCAGTTATTTCGAAATAATGTGTAAGTACTGTCAAGCTGGAGGACTTCTTACTCCGACTCCTGGAACCCTCATTACACGAGGAGTAAGGGAAGTGGGAGGAAGAGTGCTCTATTTCAAAATAAGTGCTATGTAGAAGTTCCCAATTTCAAAATAAGCTACGCAATTGACGTAGCTCAATTTATTTTGAGTTAAGCTCTGCCATGTAGACGCATCCTGTCTCTCAGTCCCTTTTTAAATGATTCCGAACATTCTGTTTGCTTTTTTGACTGACTCTGCACATTGAGTGGATGTTTTCTGAAAACTATCCACAGTGACTCTGAGATCTCTCTTGAGTGGTTAACAGCAGGGCATTTAGGACTTAGGCTCCTAAGCAGCTATTTAGAAAAAATAACTATTCCAATTATGTTGTTTTGATTTCTTTTAACAGATAATGTGTGTTGTAATATATCTGTTTCCTAGGATAATCTGCATCTTAAAGCATTAATAGTTTGGAGGTTTCTCTTACAGGAGCGGCAGAAACAACTGGAGAGTCTTGGCATATCTCTTCAGTCTTCTGGAATCAAAGTTGGTGACAACAAGTGCTTCCTTGTTAATTTAAATGCAGATCCTGCTCTCAATGAACTTCTGGTGTACTACTTAAAGGTGAAATAACACTTTGTTTCAATGTGTTTAAGTGGATCATATAATACAGTGAGAATGCATGTGAATAGAAAGTTCTTTTTGAGGAACAGATGACAGAGGCATTGTTTAGTGTCCAGTGGTTAGCAAAAATGGCACAGATACGGGTTTTTTTTATTGCAAGTCATCTTTAACTGTTACAGAGAACCGGAGTGTAAATGTGCCTTAGTAGCATTCTGTATCCTTAGAAATTTTCCCATTTGACAGCAGTTGTCTGGCCTTTACAGTTCTTTTTGTATGCAAAAATGGCACCATCTTACTAAATCAGTTTGCTTCTCCATCTGTGCTCACAGTTAAATATACTGACTTATCAAATGAGTTCGTTCTTCTGTTTCCAACATAGGATCCAGATAGCTCTGGGGGAGAGTGCTGGGTTTTATTCCAGCTCATCCATCCCGTTAACGTGCATCTTCTGATTGTAGAATTCCATATTATTGTTCAGCGCTGCAGGGGAATGAACTCCGCTTAACTTCTGGATTCTGGGCTGGCAGTTTTATTTCCTGTAAATTAAGCAGGTTTTGATCTGGAAGCAGAGTGAAGAATAGGATCTGTGCTACAGTTTTAAGTCACTTTTCAGAGTGGAGCAGCCATTCAATTTTAAGCCCAACTGTCAGACTTCTCACATTGTTGGTTGTTAATGATTTTCCTCCCACTGGAGTGGAGTACAGTAATTTGTCTCAGGGCAGCCGCATAATTAGCATTTGGGCTAAAAGTGGTTTTGTGCTGCCTCTCTTAGGTAATGTATGTAATCTTCCTTTTAGATCAGTCATTGCATATCACAGAGCAAACCGCTACCCAAAGAATGAAAGCAAAAGAAAAACCCCTTATTCATCACTGCTCCTTATAGCCATTAATAAACAACACAAGAGCTGATTAACGATTTTTGGAGAGGAGTCAAAGCATTTCCAGGCATCTCATGTGTAGGTGGTGTCTGGATTCTGATTCAAACTGCTAAGTCAGCCTCAACTCAGACAGCTATTGAGGCTGTGGTGTTTTCTTTGTTGTTTCATGTGAATACATAACAAGAATACATTAATGACAAAGCATATTCAGAAGGATGACCTCAGTCCCTGTGTAAAATGCAATCTTTGTTAGATGTTGTAGGATGGGGAAACTAATAAAAATACTCGGTGTTCTTGCAATTCCCTTTCTGATATAACCAAAACTATGCATCTTACAGTTGTGTTTTTGCTTCTCATTACTGAAGTCTCTAAAAATCAAATTGAATAGCCATGTCCTCTTTGGACACCACAGCAGGTTTGGAGCAAAAATCTTTGCTTGGGCTAGAGGATGAATTTGGGTTCTTTTTTTGGATTCTGATTCTTTTGCTATCTTTTGGATTGATCAGGTTTCAGACTTTCTTTTCGGGTGGTCACAGATGTCTGAGCAGCAGCAGGTTTCAGTTTTGTGTCATGCTTGTGAGGAAAAGGCTTTTTGGACGGGGAAGGTTTTTCATCATTTCTTGGAGCTGATCAGAGGTTTGGATCCACCTAATTTCAGAGAAACTCCCTGCTGTCAGACTAACAGTCATCTTCAGCCTCTTTTGTGCTGAGCCATCTGAATTCTGCAAGAACTGAATAGCACTGTCTAGAACTCCCTTTGATTGAGGAGAGCTCCATCCTAGGGTGTAAATGAGTAGTTGTGCCCTGTTCTAGTTATTCTACATGTAGACCTGTGCCACAGACAACTTGTGATATATTATCAGTCAGGGCTACTCAACACGGCGCAGTTTGAGTTTACATAGGGCTCAATGCTCAGCCTACAGCTGGGATCCTTTGAACATGGCCTCCACTGGGAACGTGCTCCCCAACTGGACTGTCATTGGTCATTAAAAGTGCTGTCATATGGGTGAAAATTGGGTAATTGTGTTTTATTAATATCAGCAGAATCAACTTAAATGGGGCCTGTGTGTAACCGGAAGAACATTTCTGCTATCTGTTGCTAACATCTGAGTTTCAATCTTCCACAGGAGCATACATTAATAGGGTCAGATGACTCCCAAGATATCCAGTTATGTGGAATGGGAATTCTTCCTGAACATTGTATTATAGAAATAACCTCCGAAGGACAGGTTATGCTAACGCCTAAGCAAAATACTAGGTAATGTTACAAATTATTGTAAAGTCAGTTCTATAGCTTCAACTTTAACAAATCTATTAGGATGAATGGTACATGAAGATTTCTAAATAAGAATTTTTTATTAATCTCAAGAGCTATTTGGCTTCTGTTTAAATGTTAGTAGGTTGCTGTGTTTCCCATGAACAGCTCTGTTAGTGCATCTCATTCCTAATATATAGACCCTCTCTCTTCCAGTTCTGGGTTGTTTTGGATTAGATTTCAAACCGAATATCTGGGGGTATGTGTGTCTTTTTTTCTTAATGATGATATAGAAGCAATTTATAGTTTCATCAAACACGTGCTAATTTATTTGCACTTGTCTAAATGTAGCTCTGTGTCCAGATTTAAACTTCTATAATCACTGCTTATATGTGAAATGTTATTGAAGTACTTGCTATGGTATCTAATTATGTAACAATAATGAAGCACATGATACATTCCAACAAACTACAGAATGCCATGCATGTGTGGATCTACCTAGTGAACCCATCACAGGACCTAACCATATCAGCTATCTCCTTAAAGGCATGTTCATATGCACATCTACTAATGTAATACAGGCCATCATTTTCCAACAGTGCCCATATGCCATGAACATAAGAACGGCCGTATTGGGTCAGACCAAAGGTCTATCTAGCCCAGTAGCTTGTCTGCCAACAGTGGCTAGCACCAGGTACCATGTATATTGGACAAGACATACGGTCTACGCAAAAGAATACATAATCACAAATTAGACATTAAGAAGGGCAACTTCCAAAAGCCGGGCTGAGGGGGACCATTTTAACCTCCTTGAGCGCACAGTTTTGGACTTGCTAGTTGCCATTCTCAAACAGAAAAGCTTGCATTTTAACCTCCTTGAGCACACAGTTTCGGACTTGCTAGTTGCCATTCTCAAACAGAAAAGCTTCATAAACAGTCTGCAGAGAGAAACTGCTGAGCTGGAATCCATGTGCAAATTTGATGCCCTGAAGCAAGGTCTAAACCAGAGTTTCTCAAACTGTGCTCCGCAGAGCCCTAGGGCTCCGTGAGACATCTCCAAGAGCTCCGCAAGGTTGAGAAACTGGAAACATCGATAGGTACAACACATACAATCAGTGGACCGCAGGGGCTCCGCATACATTTTTACACGTGTAAAGGGCTCCGGAGCCCAAAAAGTTTGATAACCACTGGTCTAAACAAACAGATGGAGTGGTTCCTGCATTACAATAGGTAATTTCCCATTCAGGTACTCTGTTTCTCTCCACTGTTGGAGATAAGCCACATCCATGCTGACTTAATTGGCACTGATGTGTCACTCCCATCTCTGTGTCCTTTTTTCCCCCCATCTTTCTTTTTCTCTTCAGCATCTGAGGAAGCGAGTTGTAGGTCACAAAAGCTGATGCTCTAATACAGGGATGGTCAACCCACAGCTCATGAGCCGCATGCGGCTCTTCTCTCCCAAAAGTGCAGCTCACAAAGCTGCTGAACGCCCTCCCCCACCCCAAAATGGCCCCCGGATGCCCTGCGCTCACCGGGGTGGCAATTCAAAATGGTGCCCAAGCTTGTTTCTTAAAGGGGCAGTCTCCTTTTTTGACAATTCTGGAGGGCTTTCTTTTTGGGGGGCGGGGGAAGGGAGCTCGACAATTCTGTGCGGCTTTTCACTTTTTTTTCCGCTGCTGTTTCGGCTCTTTGTTAAATAGGTTGGCCACCCCTGCTCTAATAGCCTAATAGATTTTTTAGCCTTTCAAGTGCCACCGGACTCCTTGTTACCCTAACAGTGGAGTTGATGCTGTCTCCAGTAAACCATGTGTATATCGAAGATCTCCAACATGGTGTATGCTTATTCGCTATTTCTGAACAATGTAACAATAGCCGTGTTTACTTCCCATAGGCTATATTCAAAGCCATACACCTTTTTTTAGACCCAATAGATTAGTCTTCAATAACGTTCTTCAAGTACAATCTGTGGTTAAAAATACTAAATATTATGGAGCTTAACCAAGAGTAAATCAGTCCATGGACTGATGAAACAGCAGAGGTGTGGGAAGTAGGAGTGCAGAGGGTGCTGCTGTACCTCCAAGTTTTGCACCTTGCTTCCTGGCCCTGCTACCAACCTGCCATTGGCTTCACCAGCCTGAGATCCCACCGGCTTTGCTGCTGCCTGCTGGCCTTGCAGGCTCCGCTGCCCCTGCTCCCAGGGGATCCTCAGCCTGCCAGCCCCAGGGTCCAGGCCCCCGGCCCTAAAGGCTCTGCTGCCACCCAGCATCCTCTCGCTGGCCAAGGGTTCTGCTCCTGACCTTGGCTGTGCTCCTCTATGGTCAGCAAGGGGCTAGGGCTGTAACCTCTCCCAGACCATACGGACTGGACACAGTTGCCATGAATGGCATCTGTCAATCCAGTGGGGAGAGTTTGCAACCATTGGAGGGGTACAGAACAGGTATAAAAATGTAAGTAACTAAGCACCCCCACTCTAAAAATTGCTCCAGTGCCAGGTTACAGAAGAAATGTTTGCCTATTTATTTGTAATCCTCAAACCTGCTTTCCTCCCCAAACTAATTGTGAGAATGAAAGAAACTATTTTCTCTCTCTCTCAAAAAAACCCACAACCCCAACACCCTAATTTGGATGTATTTGTAAGCTGCTTTTCTTCTTCTCCTCACAGAACATGTGTAAATGGTTCCACTGTTATGGGTCCTACGCAGCTACACCATGGAGACCGAATACTGTGGGGAAACAACCACTTCTTCAGGTATCAAAGGCCTTCATCTAGATATGAGCTTCAGCCAGTTTTGCTTTAGCTTTGAGTGCAGAGAGTAATTGTAGGTCTCTAGTGGAGCCCTCAAGATGCAGATGGACCATATGTTGCCAGTTCTGGCTAGACCATGGGTTCCCAAACTGGGGGGCATGAGGAAATTCTAGGGGGAGGATGTGAGGTGACTTAGCCCCCCCTCATGAATCCCGCACCCCCAGAAGTTTTGCCGCTATTTTTGTTTTTTGGCCCTGGTCAGTTCCCTTTTGGCACAAGTTTTGCCGCTATTGCGGGGTGGGGGGAAGCTGAGGGTTTCTCAAAAACCAAAAAGGGGGCGTGACGCTGAAAAGTTTGGGAACCACTGGGCTAGGGGATGTTTTTCATAGACCCGTGTCATAGCGGCTGTGCCTAGTCATGGCTTGTTTGTAATACGCTGAGGATTATTTTCATGTTTATATTTCCAGGAGCTTGTGGCCCAGTTTCATAGATTCATAGAAGATTAGGGTGTGAAGAAACCTCAGGAGGTCCTCTAGTCTAACGCCTTGCTCAAAGCAGGACCAACCCCAACTTAAATCATCCTAGCCAGGGCTTTGTCAAACCTGGCCTCAATTCTGCGCACAGCTTGCGGAGTTGGACAGCTGGAGAGTGGCAGTGGCTAACTCAGACCCATGTTCCACAAGCAGCAGTGCAGAAGTAAGGCTGGCGGTACCATGCCATCTTAAATTCTGCAGTGCTTCCAGGGGGCAGCTCTTTCTTCAAAGCGTGGCTCCTAGCCAGACCCTGGCTTTCTCCAGCCACCCAGCTACCTACAGTAGCTCCAAAGTAAGGGTAGCAGTAGCGTAACCCCTCCTACAATAACCTTGCAACACTCCTCCCTCACAGCTCCTTTTTGGATCAGGATGGAGACCGTTTCAACACTGACATTTCAGATTTAATCACAGCTCCTTTTTGGATCAGGACGGAGACCGTTTCAACACTGACATTTCAGATTTAAATTGCTGAAATCATGACATTGACTTTTTTTTTTTTTAAAAAAAAGTCCTTGACAGTGAAATTGACCAGAACCGACCATGGATTTGGTAGAACCTGATATATAGGGCATTGGTGGGATTCCTGCAAGGCTGCTGCATCCAGTTCTGGGCCCGGGCTTCAGGAAAGATATTGATAAACTGGAGAGGGGTCAGAGAAGAGCCATGAGAATGATTAAAGGGTTGGAAGGCCTGCCTTAGACTGAGCTCCTTGAGTCTATAACTATATTTAGCTAAGAGAGACAAGATGTGACTTGGGGTATGTCTAGACTACATGCCTCTGTCGCCAGAGGCATGTAGATTAGGCTATTAGACATAGGAAAATGAAGCGGCGATTTAAATAATTGCCGCTTCATTTAAATTTACACGGCTGCCGCGCTGAGCCGACAAACAGCTGATCAGCTGTTTGTCGGCTAGCGCTCTAGTCTGGACGTTCCCCCTGTGGCAACATCAAAGGTATTTGTCGACCACCCAGGTAAATCTCATCCCAGGAGGCATACCTGGGTGGTCGACAAATACCTTTGATGTCGCCACCCATGCGTCCAGACTATCGTGCTGAGCTGGCAAACAGCTGATCAGCTGTTTGTCGGTTCAGCGCGGCAGCCAGGTAAATTTAAATGAAGCGGCGATTATTTAAATCGCCGCTTCATTTTCCTATGTCTAGTAGCCTAATCTACATGCCTCTGGCGACAGAGGCATGTAGTCTAGAAGTACCCTTGATGACAATATTTACATAGGGAACAAAAATATTGAGCTCATCAGTCTGGCAGAGAAAAGGGTCATGTGGACATTTTTCTAAAAGATGTGCTCTTGGAATTACTTGGAGTGTGTTTTCTAGCCTGTGTTGTACAGGTCAGTCTAGCTGATCAGTCACTTCTGGCTTTAGAATCTGAGTGGATAGGTGTCCATCCAGTGTTTGTTTACTCAAAGTAAATGTATAAATGGCTGTGTCTGAAAGAGAGGACAGAAGGGCTTTCGCGTTTTCAATGTGTTGTCGGAGTCCCTGTTAGGACACTTGGAAGCCTTTCTTAAGGAGGGCACCGGCTTCACTCACCGCATGTTTGAAAGGGAAATTATGGATTGTGAGGACTTGCTTTCATTGTAAGAATCCTTTAAAAGCAGCTGCTCTGTTACAAAGGCTGGGGATAAAATGTGCTAGTTTATTAAACATTGTATTTTTTTTCCTTTTTTAAAGGTTGAGTTTGCCAAAAAAGAAAAAGAAAGTAGAGCACGAGGAGGAAGAACAAGACAACACTATGGGCTGCAGCAACAGTGTTGAGCAACTTGATGCTGATGGAGACAATTCCAGTGAAGTGTCCAGTGAAATGAACTTCAGCTATGAGTATGCCCAAATGGAAGTCACTATGAAGGCACTCAGTAGCAATGGTAAGAAGCAGCAGACATTAAAAATACACGCAGGGAATAGGGTGCACCCTGAGGACCTTGTAACTCAGGAATCATTTTCCTTTATAGCTTCCTACCGCATACACTTTCTTCTCTTAATCACTTCCCCCTGGAAGGGGCGGGGGAAACTACAAAACGTTTTAAAGTTCAGTTGCTGTTCAGGAGAAACTCAGAACTAGAACATTGGGGATATTGTCTAGCACTGAGGTGTTTGGGAAGAGCTGTGTACTCTCTGATCCTGCCACTCTCTCTGAAATCAAGTTCCTTGGTTTTGGTAGCCTTATATAGCTGCCAGAGGTGTCCCAAAGGTGAGGAGGATTGATTTAATCTGACCTTGTCTAGATCTAATTTCCACTAGGTCACCTACCTTTTGTATTTAATGCTAAACCATAGAATAAAATAACTCTCGGTTTTGCATACTTTGACAAAGTACTGTTGTACATCTCTTCTGATTGTTTTTAATCTTTAGAGTACACTTCATCCATTGATCCGCCTTTGAAAAGCCCTCAGAAAACTAGCTGTATCCCTAAGAACTGAGCACTAGAAAAGTGGCAGCTTGTTTAAGATCATGTGATAAATTCATGGCAGAGCGAGGAACAGAATCCAGGTCCCCTTAGTTCCAAACTCTGTGCCTTGTGCACTGGATCACTGCTTCCCCCCTAAGAACTCGGCAATCAGTGAGGGTACGTCTAGACTACATGCCTCTGACAACAGAGGCATGTAGATTAGACTACCCGGCATAGGAAAATGAGGCAGTGATTTAATAGTAACCGCTTCATTTACATTTAAATGGCTGCTGCGCTGAGCCGATCAGCTGTTTGTCGGCTCAGCACGGTAGTCTGGACGCTCTGCGGTCAACATCAAAGGCATACCTGGGAGGTCGACAAATGCCAGAGGCATGTAGTCTAGACGTACCCCGAGTGTCCAAGAACTTCAGTTCTGGCTTCTTTATTTTCAACATCTGGTTAGACCCGATGCAGTCAATCTTGCACAGCCTGGAGGAAAAGCATGAAGAGGAGAAGCGATCCGCACTGGAGCAGCAGCGATTGATGTACGAGCATGAGCTAGAGCAGTTGCGACGGCGGCTGTCTCCAGAGAAACAACACCTCCGGAGCATGGACAGGTTCCCTTTCCACTCACCCAATGCCCAGCAGCGCTTACGCCAGTGGGCAGAAGAGAGGTGAGAATGTACATTATTTCTCAAGCAGTGGAGTGGTCAGGCTTGAGGTCTTCTCATGCCAGTAAAGTCTCTTACCGATTTGAGGCATTTGATTACAGCGCATGTCCTTGGCTCCCAAGAAGAGCCCCTTAGCTGAGCAACAATATTGTGGGGATACCATCAGCCAAGAGGAAATATCGGTGTAAAGTTTATCCATAGGGCCCTACCAAATTCAAAGCCATGAAAAACACATCGGACTGAAATCTGGTCTTGTGTGCTTTTACCCTCTACTATACAGTTTCACAGGGGATACCGGGATTTCTCAAACTGGGAATCCTGACTCAAAAGGGAGATGTGGATGTCACAAGGTTGTTTTAGGAGGATCACCACCCCTTATTTCTGTGCTATTTTGGGAGCTGGGTGGCTGAGAGGTGGAAAGCAGTGACTGTTGGCTGGCCATCCAGCTCGGAAGGCATTGCCCCACCAGCAGCAGTGCAGAAGTAAAGAGGGCAATACCATTCCATGCATCCTTACCTCCACACTGCTGCTTTCAGAGCTGGGCTTCTGGCCAGCAGCCAATGCTCTCCAGCTGCCCAGCTCTGAAATAAGTATTGCCAGCTGCAGCAACACAGGAGTGCAACCCCGCCTACAATAACCTTGTGAGACTTCCTCCCCTTCTCCCCAACTCCTTTTTGGGCCAGGGCCCCTACAGTTAGGACTGTGACACTGCAGAGTTAAATAGCTGAAAACATGACATTTACTATTTTAAAAAATACTATGACCGTGAAATTGGTAGGGCTGTAATGATCAGGCCATTCATTTTGTTCCAATACATCTGAGAAAATAAAGGTGGAAAGGTACTATTTTGTTGGAGGGTTGCCAACTTTCCCGACTGGACAGGGGCGTCTGGTCCATCCAGCTGGGAAAGTTGGCAACCCTAATCCCAAGACTAATGGAAGCCCTGCACCTCACCCACTTTCCCCAGCTGGCTTGTGTGTCACCTGCGACTGATTCTTTTTTTTCTGGGTGTCAGTGGCTCCTGGTAGGAAAAAGCTTTCCCACCCCTGCACTAGATGGAGGAAGGATTGACTGTAGTCCCAGCAGGACTGTGTGAGTTGGTCATTGGCTCTTTTATAGAGTAATTCATTTTAGATCCACAAGAGGGATCCTTTTGCCTCTTCCTAGAGAATTCCAGGGAAGGGGGCTTGGGCGTGCTGCCTCCTGTGATAACAGAATCACTGGTAGGCTATGTCTACACGGGCAGCTTTTTGTGCAAGAACATCTTGCGCAAGAGTTCTTGTGCAAGAAGTCTTGCACAAGAAAACGTCCCCACTACCATGGGCGAGCTGTGCTTTTGCGCAGGAGCGCCCATGGCAGTGTGGGCGCTCTCTTGCGCAAGAAAGCTCCGATGGCGATTTTAGCCATAGGGCTTTCTTGCGCAAGAAATCCCTGCCCAGCGTCCACACTGCCCTCTTGTGCAAGAGCTCCGGCGCAAGAGGGCTTACACCTGTTAAAAAAGAGCGTAGCTCTTGCGCAAGAAGCCCTCTCTTACCATGCCATGCTGTAAATTTCCTTGCGCCAAGAGCAAGCGGGCAGTGTGGACGCTCTGCGGATTCTTATGCAAGAATGGCCGTTCTTGCGCAAGAAGCTGCGAGTGTAGACATAGCCGTAGTGTTTCCGACAGTAACAGCAGCCTTATGGTAGAAGTGGTGCTTTGCCTAAAGCAGAGGGCAAGGCAAAAGATGCTGCATGTCTTAGTAATTTAAAACCCACCGACACTCTCCCACACACCTGCACACCCTCAAAACAATAATCCCCTGTTAATTTAAACTGCCAAAGAAACATTCGTTTTTTAAAAATAAGTGTTGTAATGAAGGATGGAGCATTTCACCTTTAGGTCACAGGTTCAAACACATCCCAGATCGGTTGTGACCTTCTCATAATATTTTGGCGGCTTCTGTAGAATGAATTTGGTGCTGGCATCCCTGTGAAGAATTTCCTGTCTCACGGTAGACACTGACTGATGCACTCCATGGATCATGGAGACTGATTGGTCCTTTCCTCTGAAGGCAGATTTTTCACATCTGGAGTGGGAAAGAGGTTGAATAGCTCTCATAGGTGCTGCCTCTTCTGGGAATACAAGAGGAGACCTTTAAATCTCTGGATTTGGTAGCATGGCAGCTTTTGTAGTCAGTCACTACATCTGTGGTGTCCACCACGCTAGCCATTAGCCACAAGTGACTTTTTGGCCGGTTGCGTGCTGCTAGTTGTGGCTACTGCTATAGTGAACAAACCACACACAGAATAGTGATAGAGATGTAGCCGTGTTAGTCTGGTGCAGCTGAAGCAAAATGTAGGACAATGTAGCACTTTAAAGACTAACAAGATGGTTTATTAGGTGATGAGCTTGCGTGGGCCAGACCCACTTCCTCAGATCAAATAGTGGAAGAAAATAGTCACAACCATATATACCAAAGGATACAATTAAAAAAAATGAACAAATATGAAAAGGACAAATCACATTGCAGAACAGGAGGGGAATGCGGGGGGGGGGAACCACACACAGTCGGTCAAATAGCCACATGTGGCTACTGGCTAGTGTGTTGGACACCACAGATGTAGTGGCTACTGCTTCAGAACTGGTGGAACAACCACAGTACTACATTCTCAAAGATATATTTTTCTAGAAAAGATCTAGTGTTTAAAATAAGTTATTTTGGATGTTGACTCCTATGAATGGCAGTAATTTGCCCCCATGGTCCTTTGTGTTCTAGTCTAGTTAGAAGTTGCCTCAGTAAAGAAATGTATTGCTTTTTTTCCCCTCTCCCCCATTTTAAAAGAGAAGAAATGTTGAACCACAGCCTGAGGAAGCTGAGGGAGCAAATTGTTAAAGCTAATTTGTTCGTGAGAGAAGCCAGTTTCATCGCAGAGGAAATGGACAAGAAGACAGAGTATAAGGTCACTCTGCAGATCCCAGCTTCGAGCCTTAATGCTAACAGAAAGGTGAGGCAGCAGCTCACTTGAGCTTAATCATTGTTCAGTAAGGTTGACGTCTGTAACAATTCACATGGATCTGACGGTTCCAACGATCCAGTTAACTTGCCAACATGTTCACACTTGTGAATGGTGCTGTTGGAAGACCATGCGGCACGTTTATTGTATCTGATAACATGAAAGTTTGGAAAGACGCCAGTTTATAGAAATGTGATGTGGTGCAAGTTGTCCGTTAGAACAAACTTCACCCTTCTTTTCAAGTGCTTGCTTGTGTCTATTCCATATAGGCGTGTTCATGGGATATTAACAATTGTGTAATAGCTCTAATAGCTGCTAGCTCTATAGCTCTGTACTCTATATCCAGAGTACAGTCAGTGCCTCCTCCGGGGCAGGGAGGGCTGCCCCCACTTTTGAGAACCTCTTCTTAGAAGACCTGATGGTCTAGGTTTGCTTGGTCTTCAAGCTCAGGTGGCTTGAATTAGACTTCTCATAGCACCTTTCATTCCTGTATTTTTATGATTCTGTATTAAATGTTTTATTGTAATTTTGCTATAATAGAAAATTATGAGTAAATAAATAAAAGCAAGGAAATGATTGAGCAACTGCATGAGTATTGGAGTATTGTGCCTCAATTGGAGTATGGTGTCCACATTTCAGTCCTAGTATTCTATGGTTCTATGAGTTTGGACACTGTAGATAGTAATAATCTAACTTTGAATATACAGCCTCTTTCATGTGAGACTCTTTATGAAATGCTGAAATATTCATTGTTGCAACACTTCTGAAAAGGAAGGGGTCTGCAAAGATCTCTGCCATTGTCACTGAGATAAAATTGACACAGGGCATGGCCATGCAGTGTTGACAGTTGGACTCCCATTCTTCCATTTTAAATGTGGTTGTTCCAACTGGATTTTGTTTAAACCAAAACTTTTCCAAGTCACTTTCTGTGTAACTGGATGTCGGTTGCCGTGCATGGATTCCTTACTGAGTCTTATTGGTTTTGTTTCTGCAGCGAGGGGCAGCTCTTAGTGAGCCTGCTATTCAGGTGAGGAGGAAAGGGAAAGGCAAGCAGATCTGGTCACTGGAGAAATTGGAAAACCGGCTGATAGACATGAGGGATCTTTATCAAGAGTGGAAGAACTGCAATGAAGACAGCCCAGTAAGTAAGAATGGGGGAGAGAGACCAATAACGTGGTAATCAAATTAAGTGCCTGATTTGAAAAAAAGAGAGAGATGGGGAAACTATTGGGTGTGGGGAAGGTAAAAAGAAGCTGTTTGTCTTGAAATTTTGCTTATTGCTAGTACTGAACAGAAGGTTCTTCAATATTTCATTAACCTGCTAGATTTTATCACCTGTTTCTTTCCATCTGTGGTTTGACAGTAGAGCCTGGAGGAACTGGGATTATAAGGAGAGAAGCTAAGAAAACAAGTGTGGTGCTCCAGTGAACTTTTGAATGGTGTGAATTTAAAATGATTGAACCAAATTTAGTTTACTGTAAGCCCTAGTCAACCCTTCAAAATTACTGAGATATAACTACATTGTTTTGAGGGGTGAATAGTGTACTCTCCTTAATGACAGTCATACCAACCTGTGCTCGGGTGTAGACAGCGCTATGTTGGTGAGCGCATGACTACTGTCTTTCATGGAGGTTGAATTACTAAGCCTACGAGAGAGCTCTCGCCCATCAATGTAACGTCTTCACCAGAAGCAGTATACTAGCTGCAGAGTAGTGTAGTGTAGACCTGCCCTGAAAGTTACTATGGTTGTTCATTTCTTGTCTGTCTCACACTCTAGAGGAAGAGAATAAAAACTGTGAAACCTTGCTCATTCATCAGTGCTGTGAAAATGACATATTATAAACTTAGTTTTTACATTATTTTGAATTTGATTCAAGGTATCTAGGTCTTACTTCAAGCGAGCTGATCCATTCTATGATGAACAAGAAAACCACAGCCTCATTGGAGTGGCCAACGTCTTTCTGGAGTCTCTGTTTTATGATGTGAAGCTGCAATATGCTGTCCCGATCATCAATCAGAAGGGAGAGGTTTGTCATTCCCATACATCATACTTTTTAGCTGTTAATGGAAGTCATAGGGCTGTTCAATATTATATGAAGAGTGTTCCCCAGCCATTGGTCCGTGTTACTAATGACATCTCAGGATTGAGCGACTGTGCTTTACCTTCTCCCTCCAGTATCTCAGTGACGCACCTATGTGCTTCCCTGGGCTACGTCTACACTGCAATGCTATTTTTGGATACCAGAGTGTCTCAAAATAGTTATAATATTATTATAATTCAAAATATAATGGGCTCACTGTTCCGACATCCCTGTAAACCTCGTTCCGCTAGGAGTATGGGATGTTTCAGAATAGCGGGTTATTTCAAAATTATGAAAAAAGCTATTTCAAAATGAGATTAAAATAAGATATACAATTTGCATAGCTCAAATTGTGCATCTTATTTTGAGCTATGGTGCAGTGTAGACTCACCCTACAGTCTAAGGATAATGATGGATATGAAATACTATAAGTTTCATTTCCATGTAGAGCAGTCATAAATGAATGGGAGGCAAGTAGGTACAGCCAAAATAATGCATTGCTAATGATAAATGCCCAGAGTTTCCAGTTGGGATCGAGGCTCCACTGTAGTAGGTTCTGTATAAGCTCATAGGAATACTGTCTTTTCCCCCAAAGAGCTTGCAATCGTAAAGATAAATGAATGGGACAAAACAATAGATGGGAAGCAGAGGAGGAAGGAAGAGGTCCCGTGGGTGCTCGTAACATATCAGTGCACCATAAGAACGGCCATATTGGGTCAGCCCAACTGTCCATCTAGCCCAGTATCCTTTCTGCTGGCAGTGGACAATACCAGATGCCCCAGAGGGAGGGAACACAACAGATGATTCTCACGTGATCCCTCTCCTGTCTCCCATTTACAGACAAACAGAGGCTAGGGACACCATCCCTACCCATCCTAGCTAATAGCCATTGATGGACCTAACCTCCATGAGTCTATCTAGCTCTTTTTTGAACCCTGTTAAAGTTCTAGCCTTCACCACATCCTCTGGCAAGGAGTTCCACAGGTTGACTGTGCACTGAGTGAAGAAAAACTTCCTTTTGTTTGTTTTAAACCTGCTGCCTATTCATTTGATTTGATGACCCCTAGTTCTTATATTGTGGGAATAAGTAAATAACTTCTTCTTATTCACTTTTTCCACACCAGTTATAATTTTAGAGACCTCTATCATATCTCCCCTTAGTCTCTTATTTTAATCAGCAGCATAGGTACCAGAAAAAATTAAACCAGTCTCTGGTGGTACTTGATAATTTTTTCCACCCACCCCTTTTCATTAGGTGTCAGGTCGTCTTCATGTCGAAGTGGTGCGAGTGAGTGGAGCAATTGGGGAGCGAATCGTAGGAGGTGATGATAGCACAGACAGTTCAAGAGAGAATGATATACAGGAGAACAAAGTTGTTTGTATGGTGAGTTTTAGACGCATTTAATGAAAACTGTTGTCAAATCCTCAATACTGAACAAATTTTTTCCTTTCTGTTATTACCCAAGTGTAAAAAAGCGATTAAATGTTCCTGGTGCATTAGCGTCTGTGCTGGAGATACAATGTCACAAGACACGAGAAGTCATTCTTCCGCTCTACTCTGTGCTGATTAGGCCTCAGTTCTGGACACCACATTTCAAGAAAGATATGGAGAAACTGGAGACAATCTAGAGAAGAGCAACAAGAATGATTAAAGATCTAGAGAACATGACCTATGAAGGAAGACTAAAAGCATTGGGCTTGTTTAGTTTAGAAAAGAGAAGACTGAGGGGGGACATGATAGCGGTTTTCAGGTATCTAAAAGGGTGTCACAAGGAGGAGGGAAGAAAATTGTTCTCCTTAGCCTCTGAGGATAGAGCAAGAAGCAATGAGCTTAAACTGCAGCAAGGGAGGTTTAGGTTGGACATTAGGAAAAACTTCCTAACTGCCAGGTTGGTTAAACACTGGAATAAGTTTCCGAAGGAGGTTGTGGAATCTCTGGAGATATTTAAGAGCAGGTTAGATAGACAGCTATCAGGGATGGTCTAGATCAGTGTTCTTAATCTTTTTAAGACATAGGAATACCAAACAGTTTTTTTTTTATGGGGAACACCAAGGATTTTTTTATTGGGGGGGGAAGCCCCCAGGGAAAAGTTGTTGAGCGCAAAAAAAAAGTGAGGCTTGCCCCTTTAAGCACGGCCATTTTTAATTCTGTTCTCTCCGTGGCACATGTCCAGCTGCCTTGCACACTTTAAGAAACACTGGTCTAGATGGTACTGGGTCCTGCCATGAGGGCAGGAGACTGGACTCGATGACCTCTCGAGTTCCCTTCCAGTTCTAGTTTTCTATGATTCTATGTCATTTATCACTTTTTGTTTAGCACCTATCCTATCATTATCCTAGCTTGTGACCCATTCAGTTTATAAAGCCTATTTGAAAGCATCTGAGTGTTTCAAGATTTAAAAGAAAACAAATAGCTATGAATGCTTAGCCGGGTGTGCAGTCTGGTATTGTATTTTTCACAGACCTGCTTAATGCCCTGGGGTTCATAATTGGAGTGAAATCCCTCTATCTTGTCTCCTCTCATAGAAATCATTTTCTGAATGGTGGAAATAAAGCAGTTAGCTGAATCTTGTGATCCTTTGGTCCCATAATGGCATTTTTCTAGTCCCTCAGGCATGTATTTAAAAAAAACAATATTTACCCCTAAACAATTTATCAACCTTATTTGGGTCCCTGATAAAATCAAATGTGCAGTCTTACTCTTAACAAATAATTCTTTCATTCATCTAACAAAGATTTGGAGTTTAATAACCCCAGTGTCTCACATGTATGTATTAAGGATGTTAATTATTGGATATTTGTGTAAATGTGTAACCCCTTGAAATTTTAGCAGTTATAGGTTTACACTCAATGCGGGGGACAGGCAAGAGCTTCTGTAGGAGTCAGCAAGGGGAAGGCAGGCAGCTCCATGGAGCTGGCATATGTGGAGAGTCGGCTTAAAAGCCAGTCTCCCTCATGTATCATTTCCCACCTTCTCCTCTGCTGATACAGAGGCAGCAAGGGTGGGGGGAATCAGTGTAGTCGATAGGATTAACCAATAAATCCAGGTTTATCAGCTAATCGTGTAGTCGACTACACAGAGACATCCCATGTAAATATGGGACTGTTCTCTTGCGCATGGTCGAGATGTAGGAGGGAAAGCATGATGGATGCCAAGCAGAGGGAGCCAAAATGTGCAACAGCTCTTCATGATGTCTGTGTGCAGGTGGTAGGCAGTGGTGGCCAATAGTATGTTAAATGCAAATTACTTGATGGAGAAATTAGGAAGGCATGGTTATCTAGAGAATCCTAATTCAGATTAATTTAGTTCTGTTACTTAAAAGGGAAACTTGCTTTGCAAAATATTACAACCGGTAATGGATTATATGTTTAGAAAATAGTATTAAACTTTGGTTCGGCCGGGCGGTGATAAAATGTACAAAAGAGTTCAAGATAGGTGGCAGCTTTTCAAAGAGTCATTATCCCTCTGTATAGGAAAGATGTATCCAGAAACCTCCCTGGCTTAGCCAAGAGATAATCAATGATCTGAAACTCAAAAAAAATAACAACCCTATAAAAAGTGGAAATTAGGTCAAATTATAAAGGATGAAAAAAAACAACCCAAGTGTATAGGAACAAAATTAAGAAAGGCCAAGACAAAAAATGAGATTAAACTAGCTAGAGGCGTAAAGGGTAACAGGAAACTTTTCTACAAATACATTAGAAGCAAGAGAAAGGACAAGGGCAGAGGTAGGCCTATTACTTAATGCGGGGGGGGGAGGGGAGAGTGGACAATAACAGAAAATGTGGAAATGACAAATGGCATTTTTTTTCACCGAAAATGTTAATAGCAGTTGGACATCTAGTATAGTGAATGCCAGTGAAAATGAGATGGGATCAGAAGCAAAACTCAGGGAAAGAGTAAGTTAAAAAATACATAGACAAGTTAGAAGTCTTCAAATCACCAGGGCTTGATTAAATACATCTAGAAAGATGTATCAGGGAGCTGTCTGAGGAGGTATCTGAGCCCTTAGCAATTATCTTGGAAAAGTCATGGAATATGGGAAGATTCTAGAGAACTGGAAAAGGACACACACATAGTGCCCATCTATAAAAAGGGAAATAAGGGCAACTTGGGGAATTACAGACCAGTCAGCTTAACTTCTGTATCAAGAAAGAGAATGGAACAAATAATTAAGGAATCCATTTGCACAAATCTTGGAAGATGATAATATAACAGCCAGCATGGATTTGTCAAGAACAAATCATCTCAAACCAACTGGATAGCTTTCTTTGATAGGGTAACAAGCTTTGTGAATAGGGGAGTGTAATAGGGTCAGTCCTGTCAGTGCACGTCCCTTAGTGGCTGAGTGGGGGTCATGCAATAGTTACCTCGCCTTCGTGGCCGAGGTTCAGACCTCCTCTTTACCACCTGGTTTAGGTGTAGCTTGTAGGTGTTGGGGGGCACCCACGCTTGCCCACTCCTCCGGCCCACGGACCCTATAGGTAGCAATTACCTGCCAGATTTCAGAGTCCACAGTTCTGGTTGTGTCCCCGGACCTTATAGGTAGCAATTACCTGCCAGATTTCAGAGTCCACAGTTCTGGTTGTGTCCCTGGGCCTCTTCCCCGGGGTGCCGTCTCATCCTAGCCCTTCTCTAGGGCCTAGTTGAAAAGTTCCCCTTGTCTGGGGTTCCTCAGAGATGCAAGGGACCAGCTCCCACTCGGAGCTGTCCGAGGCGTTGGTATTCCCAGTCAGCCCAGAGGTCTGCCTGGGTTGAGCTCCAGGTTAGAACTGCGTAGCCTTCACTAGTAGCTCCTTATATAGTAGCCCGCCATACTCTGGCTACAAAGCAAGCTGCCCCTCTACCCTGCTTGGAGGACTTCTCCACTGCCCTGCTGCTGGCCAGGATGCTGAAAGACCTCCAGCAGAGAGGTCTGGCTCTGTCTGCCCCATCACAGGGAGAAGCTGTAGATGTGGTATATCTTGACTTTAGTAAGTAACTCTCAAGTACATAAAAGGACGTGGGAGAAAAATTGTTCCCTTTAATCTCGATGATGGGTCGAGAAGCAATGGGTTTAAACTACAGCAAGGGTAGTTTAGTCTGAACATTAGGAAAAACTTCCTAACTATCAGGGTGGTTAAGCATAGGAATAATTTGCCTGGGGAGGCTGTGCTATCTCCACTGTGGAAGAGTGTTAAGGACAGATTAGACAAACACCTTTCCAGGGTGGTCTAGATAATTCTTAGTCCTGCTTTGAGTGCAGGCGACTAGATGACCTCTGAGGTCACTTTCAATCCTACGATTACATGAATCTGTGGTTGGGCATGGCTTTTCACTTGACGCTGTTTGTAACATCCTACAAGTAGTTGTGCTGGAACAATTTCTGTTGTGCGTGTACTGAGAACCATTGAACCAAACTGTTAATCATGTATATAATTGAAAACATTTCAAGCAGAGAGATGCGGCATCATCCCTTACAGACCTAGTTTTAGTACCCAGACCTACAAATAGGGCTAGAATTACTTTGACACGGCATCAGTAGAACTAAATAAATATTTAGAAACCCCTTAGGTTTATTTTTTACTCCCAAAAATCAATTGTTCAGTGACATCTAGTGGTGACTTCCAGCTAGGTCAGCCAACGCATTGTATGTACAATTATTTCAAAGCAGACAAGCCTTCTTTTGTCAGACTTTTGTCAAAGTAAGTGTTTAATCATTTTAGCCTCCCAGTTGAGGAAGAAAACATTATTTTAAGAAACTAGCTTTCTTTTTTGTCATGCTTGAATGTTATTAAAATTGTGTACGGATTAAAACAGGCATTTCTCTGCTTTTTCCTTTTTCTAGATTAAAATACTTCAGGCTACAGGTTTGCCTCAGCATCTTTCCAACTTTGTGTTCTGCAAATACACCTTCTGGGATCAACTGGACCCCGTTACGGTTGCCCCTGAGATGGACCCCTCTTTATCTCCCATCAGCAAGGAGCCACAGTGCATGGTTGTCTTCGACCACTGCAACGTAATTTTTCTTCTCTGTGATTGCAGTTGCAGATAAACAAAGCAATATAGTTAAATAAGTCTGCCACTGGTGCAGTCGCTTTCCTCACTAACCTTTGTATCATTTGCATTTTAATACAATAGATCCTACCAGTTAAACACCTCAGGGATGGAGGCTGTTTGTAAATCGGAAATGTTCATATCTCTGCATAAAACATTAGGGTGGTTCTTTCAAAAATTGCTGCTGAACATTAACTGAAAATAGCTTTGAAACATTATTATGCAGATGGAAAATGTTTTTAAACCAGCTTAATTTAGCTGAAAGGAGCCTAAAAGTAGTTTCTTTATCTTGTCAAACCTTTTTTAAACTTTCCCTTTATTTAAGTATTTTGTTTAACACACTACTGTACTGTTTGCTTTTTTTGTCTCTACTCCTGTCTTACTCTGTACTTTGGGTTCCAAATGAAGTGTGTGACAGACCAGTCAGTTAGTAACTGGTCGTTTATAATAACTTAATTCAGTCAATGAATTTGTAGTCTTTCACTTGCAAATTTAATAAGCTGTTTTTACAAGCACCGGTATCAAAACAATCACATAGAACAATCAAATGAATTAATAATAAAGGAAAATAGAAGAGACTATGTAAGACAGGGCCGGGGAACTTTTTTTGGGTCAGGGACCACTAACCCACAGAAAAATCAGTCAAGGGCCACGCACAAAACAAACCCAACCCTCATTGACTCACCCCCCAACTAAGAAGGGGAAAAACACGGCCCATGTTCCCCTTGCACACCACAGCTTAGGGGGCCGTGGCTAGTGGATTGTGTGCTCCAGCCGCACAGCGATGTGGTGAGGGGGCTGGAGTACCAACACGGGTTGCCCAATTCTGGGGGGGAGCCCTGAGCCTCACGGACTGGATCCAGGCAATCCGGGGGGGCTGCATCCGACCCCTAGATCTTAGGTTCCCCACCCCTGATGTAAGAGATCAAAAGATCAAACTAGATGATTATGATGGGCTCTTCTGACCTTAATGTCTGAAATCTTTGTGTTTGAGTTTACCTGTCTGGAATGAGTTCAGTGAGCAGTGTCTCTTATTTGAATTCCCATCCTGACTTTTCCACTGATTCACTCTGCCAGGGTGCATCTACACAGCAGGGCCTAACTAGAAATAAGCTACACAAATTGAGCTACATCAATTGCATAGCTTATTTCGAAATTGGAAGCATCTACACAGCACTTATTTTGATGCAGAGCACTACTTCCTCTGACTTCCCCTACTCCTCGTACAATGAGGGTTACAGGAGCTGGAGTAAGAAGTCCTCCAGCTTGACAGTATTTTGACATTATTTTGAAATTACTGCCAGCTGTGTAAATGCAGACTAAGTTATTTCAAAATAACATTAGTTATTTCAAAATAATGTTGCTGTGTAGACATATCCTCACTGGGCAAGTTACTTCTCTTATGGTGTGTCTAGACTACCTAGTTTTGTCGACAAAAGTGGACTTTTGTCGACAAAACTATACCAGCGTCTACACTACCACTGAGTTCTGTCGACATAACGTCGACAGAACTCAGCAGTTTTGTCGACGCTGGTAAACCTCATTTTACGAGGCATAACACCTTCTGTCGACAGAACTCTGTCGACAGAAGGTGTTATTGCCTGTAACATTGCGTCCAGACTACGGAGTTCTGTCGACAAAGCAGCTTGCTTTGTCGACAGAACTCAATGTGTCTGGACGCTCTTTGTCGATGGAAGTTTTGTCGACAGTATCTGTCGACAAAACTTCCGTCGACAAAACGCGGTAGTCTAGACTGTGCATTAGTTTCCCTATATATAACGGGAAAATTTTGTGGAACCCAGTCAACATTTGTAAAGTGCTTTTAGGAAGGATGCTGTTTTGATTTAAGGCATTGTACTAGGACCAGAGCATTTGGATTTAATTCTCAGCTCTATACCAGACTCCTCTGTCACTTTGGGTAAGTCAGGTAATTTCTCTACTTCAGGAGGGATAGCTCAGTGGTTTGAGCATTGGCCTGCTAAACCCAGGGTTGTGAGTTCAATCCTTGAGGAGGCCATTTAGGGATCTGGGGCAAAAATCTGTCAGGGATGGTACTTGGTCCTGCTGTGAAGGCAGGGGACTGGACTCAATGACTTTTCAAGGTCCCTTCCAGTTCTAGGAGACAGGCAATCTCCATTTCATTTCATTTCACTTCTGCATCTGTAAAATAGGGGCTATAACTTCCCTTCCTTTGTCTTATTAATTTAGATGTTAAGATGTTGGGGACATGGACTGTTTTACTAATGTAGATGTAGTATCTAGTACAATCTTCTCCTTCCTCTTCTGTTAGGTTCTAGGTGCATCATTAAGTTCCACTGTAATAGGACTAGTTTGAACATGGAAAGCATTAGAGAAGTGCCAACTATTCATTTTGACTATATGCAGAAACTTCAGGCATTTATTTTGCAGGGCAAAGTAGGTACAAAAAAAATCAGAGCCTATTGCTTGTGAGTGGAGAACCTCAAATAGACTTGTCTGAATGGGATTTTGTAGCTTGCTTGATCTAGAGTTCAGCTTACGTCATGTACTAAACAAGTTAAACAGTCCAGCTGGGAAAGAGCCCTCCTTTACTAAGGGCCTCACCAGAAATGTCTCCATTGATGAGTTCCTTTGTGAGAAGTGACATGCAGAGTGAAAGCAAAAAGTCGCTGCCAAAAGTGTGTGTGTGGGAGGGGAGGGGTTATTTTGTATTAATTTAGAAGGGATGTATGGGCCCAAAGAGTTAAGTGATAGCATGACTCTAACTGCCCAACAGCAACGAGTTTGAAAGGAGTTTTGGGGTTTGGTATAGAGAGCTTATTTAGTATCTTAGGGTGTGTCTACATAGCACCATTATTTTGAAACAACGGACGGCTTATTCCAAAATCTGTAAGCCTCATTCTACGAGGAATAATGCCTTTTCTGAAATAGCTATTTTGAAATCAGGCGTGTGTAGATGCTCTCCAGTGCGTCCTGGGACTCTAAATCGAAATAGCATGTCTACATTAGGGAAACCTGTTAATTTTGAGGCTTCCCTGCCGTGTAGACGTGCTATTTTGGAATGACTATTCCGGAATAGCTTAATTCGAAATAAGCGTGCAGTGTAGATGTACCCTTAGTGTAAACATAATTCAAAATCCTTTTAACCTTTAATAAAAGGCAATGTGGGGGCTTGGAGGGAAAACATGTAAAGCATTTGAAATGTTAAATATTAAATAAGGGTTCTTCTTGACCTCTTTTACTTACTGTCCCTTCAGTTAGAGAGTTATCAAATCCCCCCTACCATGTTTGATAAGTCTTAGTTGGTAAGTGTCCTTTTCAGGGAAGAGAGAAGTTATTTGAGATGTTGTTAAGGTCCAATCCTATTTCCTAGAAGACATAACAAGACCGCAGACACACACTAGAAAGGGGGAAAAAAAGAGCAGCAAAGATAGAAAATGCAGCTTCTGCCTCGCTTGCAACCTCTCTACTGGAAAAACATAGGCACAGCACATGGCCTTAGCAGCTATTCTGAGGCCTGGCAATCTTGTATCGGTGCTGGGTTATTTAGGGCATTTCATTTAGCTGCCTTTCCAGTACGGGTCTTCCTGCAAAGGATGCAGTCTTGGCTGGTGAAGCCAGACGCTCATTAAACAGAAGTAAGAGAGAGAGGACAGAGAAGTAGTAAGGTGGAGAACAAAAAGAATACATTGTGGTGGAGAGGGAGGAGGGTGGAGAAATTTCACATCCTATGTGGTGTTTGGGATGTAGCTGGACCTGATGGGAATAGCGGTGACATGTGGGTCCCTCTCTGTGGCCCATTTTGGTCAAGACATTTTTTCAGGCTTAGGCTGATAGCCCAGTGGTATCACGCAGGAGCCTAGGTCCCAGGAAAACAAAATGGGCAGCAGTTGTGATGATGATGCAAGCATCATCATCACAACTGCTGCCCATTTTGTTTTCCTGGGACCTAGGCTCCTGCGTGATACCACTGGGCTATCAGCCTAAGCCTGAAAAAATGTCTTTCCCCCCTCTCTTCTTTCAGGCATCCAACTTTACAGTAGCAAGCTTTTCCTTCCACCCTTCATTTTAAGGGCCCAAAAGGGACTCTTGAGCAGAACAGCCTATCCCCTCATTACTTTTCTTCAACAAGTGAGCCTAAATTCTGATTCATCAGTTTTGGACTGTTGACTTCTCGTTGTACACTTTCCTGCTTAGAAGTCGTGAGCTCACTCTCCTAGATTAGATCAGTGGGCCTTTTTATTTGAACTAATGTAGTTTTTCTGTTACCCTTGTGTGCCTTTTCCCATCAATGTGTATTGTTCAAAGTTATAGTGACCTGTTATAAACTGTCACTCACTTTTTACAGTTGCGCTCACAAGTAGTGTCAATTTGTAGGCCCAATTATTGCAGTAGTTAACAACTTCCTCTTTTTAACGTTTAATCGGTTTTGTCATTTCCACATAGGAGTTTTCTGTAAATATTTCTGAAGACTTCATGGAACATCTGTACGAAGGTGCTTTGGCAATTGAAGTGTATGGACACAAGCAAAGCGATCCTCGCAAAAACTCAGCTCTATGGGATTTGGGAATCATTCAAGCCAAAACACGAAGCCTCCGTGACAGGTAACTGCGGGCAGTTTAAAAATGAGCCTCCCCGACAACAGTAAATATCTCTGGATTTGTGGGTTAGAGACCAACTATCAAATCCTGAAAAACCAACAAATGGTCCTGTCGCACCTTAGAGACTAACCAAAAACTGTAGATAGTATCATGAGCTTTTGTGGTCACAATGCGCTTCTTCAGATGAATGGAGCAAGCAGTGCAGGGGGTACAAATTTTATCCGGGTGGGACTCAAGCTCGCAATCCCAGGCTCTGGAGGCAGATGCCTTATCCATTGAGGCCACGGGGAAGGCTCATTTTTAGTTACAGATTTACATGGCTACCTTTCAAATCCTGGGTTAAGTCGCAAGTAAAAATGAATCTGATGTTTGGATCTTTGTAACCCTCTTTGCTCACCGCAAAACCCATCGCACGTTGGTCACGTATGTAAAAATGATTGGTCAATGCTCATTCATAATTGTAGTTTGATTAAAAGAAGAAACACCTGATGAATAAGACTGGATGACACCTATATTATTTAGGAAACACCATACAGGTGTCTGATTCTTTACAAAGAAACTAAAGATAGTGGGGCTGGTTTAATTGGACTTCTGAAATCAATGGACAGGAGGGTTCATCTGGTTATGTGCTGATGTACTGGAAAGCAGAATCAGTCCATGCCCTTAAGATTCCCAACCAAAAGACTGGCTTCTGTTTCCATTGGAGATAATTGTGGTTTTGCCGTTGGCTTCAGTGGGAAAAGAATAGAACTATAAGTTAAGACATGATATGGTAAAACATGCTGGAAAAAAACAAGAAGGGAGACCCAACAACAACGTTACAAAACCATATGTTTGCTGGAATGGCTTATGATAGTGAGTGCCTATTTCAGAGCAGAGACGCTAAACTGGGTGTGTGCTCTATAATTAGAGATCACAAGTGGATTAGGAGACTGGGGGGGGGGTATGATAGAGGTATTTAAAATCATGAGTGGTGTGGAGAGGGTTAATAAAGAAAAGTTATTCATTAGTTCCCATAATATAAGGACTAGAGGACACCAAATGAAATTAATGGGTAGCAGGTTTAAAACTAATAAGCGAAAGTTCTTCTTCACACAGCGTGTAGTCAGCCTGTGGAACTCCTTGCCAGAGGAGGCTGTGAAGGCTAGAACTATAACAGAATTTAAAGAGAAGCTAGATAAATTCATGGAGGTTAGGTCCATAAAAGGCTATTAGCCAGGGGATAAAATGGTGTCCTTGGCCTCTGTTTGTAAGAGGCGGGAGATAGATCAAGAACACATATTCCTGCTCATCCAGAAATATAATTTATGCTATCATGTGCCAAAAGTGTCCATCTGCTATGTACATTGGACAAATGTCTCGCACACTTCGCCAAAGAATCAATGCCCACAAAACAGATATTAAACAGGATCACAAAGAAACAGTTTCTTGCCATTTCAACCAGAAAGGGCATTGTCTCAACGACTCTTTTACCTGCATCCTGCTTCAAAGACCTTTCAACACCAGACTTGAAAGAGAATCCTCTGAACTGTCATTCATACTTAACTTCGACACTTTTCACCTAGGTCTAAACAAAGACATTAATTATCTTACCCCTTACAAAGATTGCTTCCCCAATTATCATCTCTAATATCATTAGCTCACAGACATTTACCTCCCCCCTCCATCCCCCTTCTGTTCTGAAATTTGATTTGTCCTTTTCGTGTGTTCATTTTTTTGATTGTATCCTTTGTTATATATGGTTGTGCCAATTTTCTTCCACTATTTGATCTGAGGAAGTGGGTCTGGCCCACAAAAGCTCATCACCTAATAAACCATCTTGTTAGTCTTTAAAGTGCTACATAGTCCTGTTTTTTGCTTCAGCTATACCAGACTAACAGCTACATTTCTATCATTATCCCATGTCAGTCTGCCTTAGACCTCACACCGAAGACAGCACTTATATCTAATCCTATAGCAAATCCTTAGATAGTTTCTTAAGTAAGAAAAGAAATGAAGTTCTTATTCCAAAGTTAAAGCAGGCGAGTGTATATATACACTAGTCTGGTTTTCAAAAATGAACAAAGTTGTACTCTTTATATATACGCTAGTCTGGTTTTCAAAAATGAACAAAGTTGTACTCTGTCAGCTCTTAACACTTTTTAGAGCTAACTGAAGTTGTCTCTGGGATCTCCACTTCTGTTGTATAGCTCCATAGAAGAGAGGATGGTAGTGATGGAGAAGGTCGATATGGAGCCACATGAAACCAGAATATCCTTAACTCTGCCCTCAGTAATGCTGGTTGATCTGCACTGAAATCTGTGGGACTGGATGCGTATAGCAGAGAGCAGAATTTGACTTTGATGTTTAACTGTCACTCATTTTGATATTAAACCAGTATGAAGAGCCTAGAATTAGCTTATGTCTTATGCCCACAAAAGTTCTAGCCAAAGTGTCATCACTAGCTGTTAGCTCAAAAGTAGCAATGGGAAACGAAAAACTTTTTCCAGGTAAAAATGACACTTGATGCAAATTGGCTCCCCTATCTGTGATCTTTGTCAATACTGAGCGGAGTCATATAACTTGGCTTGAGTCCTAAAAATAAAAACAAAGAGAGAGAGAGGATAAAAAAGTAAATTGAGAATGGTATTTGGCATGGTTTCCAGGTGGAGTGAGGTAACCCGAAAAGTCGAGCTCTGGCTTCAGATTCTGGAACTTAATGAGAATGGGGAGTTCTATCCAGTTGAGGTGGTTCCTGCCAAGGATGTAAACACTGGTGGCATCTTTCAACTCAGACAGGTAAGATGGCAACAGCAGCAGGAGTCATCTGTGAAAAGAGACCAGCTTTAAAATTGACGGAAGCACGGAATCTTGTATGTATATTCGTTCATTGATTTTAACAATGAACTAATTGCGAAGGGACCCTGAAGCTTAGGCCCAATATTTGATCAACTTTAAAGCAGTTATGGTCTTGAGAGAAATAGATTAGATAGCATTTATATTTTGTGTAGGGATTTACTGCCTCTGTACCCCTTAGGAGACTGAGACTCTCTGTTACCCATTAAACAGGCATAGTGTGGTTAATAGCAGTGGATGCTTTCTCCACGCTGCCCGTGTGTTTCAGCCGGGACCTGGAGGGGACCACAGATGCTGGAGGGATAGGCTATTCTCCATTGTCTACTTAGTGTTTTGGCCACTGTGCTGAGTCTGTGAACTGACAGTTCCAGGCTACCTGGAAATTGGACTGGATCAGAGTCTCAAATCTCCTGTAGAACAGCCATCAGAAAACAACTTCTATTTACCATCAACCCCAGGCAGAACTTGATTGAAAGCCCCATGCCAACGTTCCCATTATCTTAATACTAATCCTCTTCACCAGCACATTTAATACTTTAAAATATAATCCACTGGTCAGAGAACACTGTAAAAATTAGTGTATGCTGAAGACACACTGAACCTCCTGAACTCCCGAAACCACTGTGATTTCTGATTCTGCTGACTATACAGCAGCAGCTAGCTAGTAAACATGGTTCCCAAAGCTATGCTGACAACATCAGTGGTGAGGGTTTTTCTATCAAAGAAGCCACAAAAAGTTAATTTCAGCTTCAGTAACATTTGCCAAATTCTATTCTCTCCCCTCAAGTGTACAAAGTCAAATCAGAAAGGGGGGTGGGAATCCTATTTTCAGTGTTGAGGATTTTTTTTAAACTGTGCCCTTTTAAAAAGTTTTCATCAAAAGCATGTTTTGGGCCCAATGAATGTCCCACACTTCCTTGTAGATTTAGACCGTGCAGCAGAAGTTCTACCTGACCAATGTCATGTCTCACATGAGAGCTTGCCAGACCACTTTCTATGTAGTAAACAATCATGAGATTCGAGTTTAGTGTATACAGGCAGTCCCCGGGTTACATGGATCCAACTTACATCGGATCCCTACTTACAAACGGGGTGAGGCAACCCCGCACTAGCTGCTTCCCCCCAGCAGACCAGGGAGACGCAGAGCGGCTTTTCTCAGCAGACACCTCAGCTTGAGAATAAAGGACTGAGGGAAGTGAGGTGTGGGAGAATAAAACTGAGCTCTGGAGAAATGTTTGGCTAGAGTTTCCCCTACAATATGTACCAGTTCCGACTTACATACAATTTCAACTTAAGAACAAACCTACAGTCACTATCTTGTACGTAACCCGGGGACTGCCTGTATAAAGCCACCACCAGCAGAGGTCTCTCTGTCACCAGGTTTTCATATTTCAAGATTTTTACTTCTTCAAATTGTTCCCTTGTGAAGGGGCAGTCACGGCGAATTCAGGTCGAAGTGAAGACTGTGCAGGAGTCCGGCACCTTGCCTCTAATGGAAGAATCCATACTCTCTGTTGGCGTTGGCTGTGTACAAATAAGACACATCAAGTCACAAAAAGCTCATGAGGCTCATCAGGTAAGAGATCTTCCGCAAAACGTTCTTGCACAAGAACATGTCCGCACTGCAAAAGCACATTGGAAAAGCGATGCGCTTTTGCGCAAGAGAGCGTCCAGACTGCGTGGACACTCTTGCACCTCTTTCGCAAGAAAGCTCTGATTGCCATTCACAAAATGGCCACCAGGGCACCTGTGCTCCTTTCCATAGACTGTTTTTGTGCAAAAAAACCTGTTTCCCGTCCCCCACACACCTTTTTGCACAAGAGCTCTTGTGCGAAAAGGAATTATTCCTCGGAGAAAGAGGAATACCTGTACCGCAAAAACCCCTCTGTTCTGTCAATTCACTATAAATTTACTTGGCAAAAACACGCTTGATGTGTGGACCCTCTGTGAGGTTTTGCACAAAAACCCTGTAGTGTAGACGTAGCCTGAGGTGGCAGTTGAAAAGGCAGAGGTAGACTGAGCACAACGACCTTAAATGGCCACTCCATCCTTTCACTACACTAGGCCTTACTGGTTTTCTTTTTACAATTTTTTGAAAGCTATAAATCTGCTGAATCAAATAACCTTTTTTTATTAAAGTAACAAAACTATCTACTTTGAACCTTTGGATTCTTGGTCTGCATTTTCGCAACTCTAATTTATTTATCTTTCATGTGTATCAAATCTAAAGACCTTGAAACTACAAAAATGTATGCCTTTTTAACGTTAACTTTCACTCTCCTGAATTTGCTTTTGTTACTTAACGGGGAGTTATCCCTTACATAGCTAGATAAATATTTACTCAGTGAAACTAAGTATAGGAATCAATTTCCAAAAACTTTCCCCCTTCATTTACTGAATACAGGAGGCCCCCGACATGCGACCACCCGAGTTCTGACCCACTGTACTTACAACCATTTTAGTAAGTGCGGAAGGGGCCAGAAACCCCCAGTTTACGTCCTCGGCCCGCGTTTACAACAGGCGTGTGGTGCCTATCTTAAATGAGGGCTCCAGTTCCAATGCCCCCGGCTTGTGACGCTTCCCCAGGAACAGATTGCGTCGCAAGTCAGGGGCCTTCTGAAGTGACTCGTGTCATGTTCCTTATTGCCATCTGGGTGGTACTTTCTTGCAAGAGGGGGGGCCCAGTTTCATGTAGGTCGTTTTGAGGAGAGGTTCTATGTCCTATCAGAAAGCACTGAAAAGCAAAGTGTCAGAGTTTTGTACGCTATCGTGACTTTTTTGTTTTAACTTTTTTGGTTTAATTTAAGAGTTGGTTTCAGTTGTGAACGTTTTCACCCACTAAATGGTAACGCTTGCCTTAAAACTAATCTTTTGTGAAACTTTGGTTTCTCATGCTTTCTATACCAATTCCTACCTCTTACTAATAAGACAGGAGGTTCTTTCATTAGTGCTATCATGTATCCATTAGAATAGATAGATTGCAAGTGTCTCTTCACTATAATTATTCATTCTTATTTAAACCACTTAAATATTTTGGCAGTCACTTCTTGGCAATTAGATGTAGTGATTAGAATCCTTTATTAATGGAGTTTTCCTTTAAATATTATGTAAGCTATGAAAATGCATTCCAGTTAATACACAAATCCTGAATTACAATACCATTGTACATACAGCTTATAAAGGAAAAGTAAGTAGTGTATGCAAGTGGCACTGCTATCCACTATTAATACTGTTATACCAGCATCTGTCCCCACTGTCCAACACTGCTGGACATTTCAATCAGAATTATACCTGCACCTCGTAATTTTTTAAAAATCATAAATATTGCTTTTGGACTTGATGTATTTTCTAGTATAAGAATGTTTGTTTATGAATGACTTAGATTTGTGTCTTTTTTGCCTAGGACGAAGTAGATGATATGGACAGTTATCAGGTAAATATAATATTTATCTTATTTCAGATATAAATATTTGTAGATCAGATTGCCTGACGCTAATTTTCAATATTAGATAGGCATCAACATTGTACATCCCACTGTGAAGCATGAATATCTAACATTCGCTGTTACATTAGATTTGTACACTATATAATAATCTGACTCAGAATTTAAAGGTATTTTTCTCTCTGAAAGAATGGGACGCATTAATATATGTTTCCAAAACAAGGCATAAGTTACTTTTGTCTACTCTCTGATATGCTTCCCCTTTGTGTCTACAGCCTGTGGATTTGGACTGACTGTTCAAAGCAGTCATAGGTACAATGTTTAAAACACGTAGAAGCAAAATAACTCGCACTGTTTTGCCCTATGAACGAGGGGTGTTAGCAAATGTTTACAAAAATAAACGTAGCTGCTGAATTTTTTTAGTGGTTACACATTTACATGCAGGGGGCAGGAGCAGGAGCGGGAGAGGCAGCTCTGTTGTAACTAGTACACACAGAGAGCCGGCTTCAAAGCAAACTTCCTGTGGGTCCCTTCACGTGCCTGTTCTCCCCTCACCCTCCATGCTACTGCCTCTCTATCAGAGGCAGCAGTGCAGGGGCAGATGGCTGCACAGGAGCTGGTGCTTAGCAGGAACTGGCTTTTATGCCAGCTCCCACCTGCTGCCCCCATGCTGCTGCCTCTGTGGGGAGGCAGCAATGGGGGGGGGGGATCGTTAGTGTTAACCAATGAGCCCAGGCTCATCAGTTAATCGTGTAAATGACTATATGCTATATCCCTACTATGAACTTGGTTTGTATTGGACCTGGGAATAAAATATTGGATAGCGATTGAAACAGGCATACTAGTTAGGACAGGGATTCTGTTCCTAGGACGACCACTCACTTTGACTGTGCCTAAGGCACTTACCCTATGTTTCAGCTTCTCCCTCTGTAAAATGGGGATTGTTTTTTAAACTTCAGAGCTGTGATGTAAATCTTAGTGATAACATTGTCATTAAAAGTACACTGGACTAGGCAAAAAACGCCTCCTACTCCTTCTTGCTGTTAGTGGCATAAGCATATACGGATAGCAACAAGAGAGCCTCTGTTTAATTTTGTCTTTGGATGGCTCAAGAAGTTCCTAGGAGCATTTCTTGATTGATTGAATGCTTAAAAAAGGAGCAGAAATGTTTAGGGAAGTCCTAGAGAGGTGGTATAATGAGGAATAACAGGATGAAATTAGGGAAGGGGGGAAATCCCATTTAATGTCAGGAACATCTTAGCATTGCCCCAATCCGGCATTATATCTGTGGCAACACACATATAATGCAGAATTGGATCCTTAGACTGGAGATGCTGTAGGACAAGGAATGGCTTATACTGTCTTTGTAAAGCACTTAGCACAGATGGAGGCTCTAATCTTGATTGGAGTTGCCAGGACCTGCCACAGTATCAGTGTTAACAATATAGTGAGGCCGTGGGACCGTCCAAGTCTTGTAACTTTCTTATTTCCTGTTTTATGTTGCCTAACAGAATACTAGGGAATATAAGATGATACGTTGAAAGGCAGATTGGCCAAATCATGTCCAGACATTTAAGGATGGGGTATAGTTCAGTCAGTGGTTGTAACTAAATGTGAGGAACCATACTGTATTAAAGGGGAATATTGAGTAGACTTGATGACTTAATGGAGAGCTCTTCATTCTCATTTCTTTAGTTACTAGGGATGTAAGTGATTAGTCAAGTAGTCAACTAGTTGCTTCTTCCCCCTCCCCCACTTGTTGCCTTGACCAGAAGCAGCAATGGGGGAAAGCAGGAGCCAGTGCTGGGGGCAGGGTGGAGGGATGGGGGGGAGTCAACTTAAAAGCCAGTTTCCCCCAGCACCGTCTCCATGGGAGGGGGGGAACGGGGGAGGCAGAGGCATAGTGGGGTGAGCTCCTGACTACTCAATTAGCTTATTAAACACAATTTAACATCCCTAGTAGGGCATGCCCACTTCTTCTTGCCTAAATGTTCTGGTCAGTGGGCAAGTTTCTAGGAGTGGGGTGGTGAACCCATCGTTTTCTTGGATCACTACTTACACAACTTGCTTCATCTACCTAGGACAGGGATTTGGAGAGACTTCGTAGGAAATGGCTGAGTGTATTGACGAAACGTCAGGAATATCTAGATCAACAGCTGCAAAAGCTTGTCAGCAAACCTGGTAGGTGAAATATTATTGGCAGCGAGCGTGAATGTAAGTGTTTGTGTTTTGTTTTTTGTAATGTATGTGAAATTAAATAGCAAAAGGAAGTAACAACCAAATCTCTGAAACCCTCTGTTTGGGGAGAATGATGAGAAAAGGGCTCTGGCATGCACTCAAGTCAGAAAGCGCTATAGGGAAAAGCTCTGTATTCTTCCAGAATAGTTGGTGTTTTTATTGAAACTGCCAGCAGGGTGTCTAGAAGAGGTAATTTTCTTTTTTTTTTATAAAGACAGTGGCCCACTAACACGTGGGTTGGGACCACCAGTACGCATCACAAAAGCGGCAGTGGGAACAGTGCTCTCAATCATTCTAACTGACCATCCTACTTTTCCAGATAAAACAGAAGATGATGCAGATCGGGAGGCGCAGCTGTTGGAGATGAGGCTCACTCTTACAGAAGAAAGGAATGCTGTGATGGTTCCTTCTGCTGGCAGTGGGATTCCTGGAGCGCCAGCAGAGTGGTAGGAATGGGACTCTATCCCACCGGGAATATAAAAATGACGGGCAGCCTCTTCCTGCCTTGGATGGCTGCCATTTTCTGCACCACCAAATGTGGGTTGTGTACCTCTGATGAGAAGAGTGATTAAATTAGGAGTGGGAGTGTGAATAACTGAAACACTCCTTCGCAAACGCTCCTGTTATTGAGCAGAATGTAATTATGACCTCTGGAAAAAAATAAATCAATATTTATTACTACAGCACTTAGCGTTAAAAAAATTAGTGAATGTTAATTACCTAGTTCCTTCACTTAAAAGACTGCTCCATCACAATAAAACTCTGTCTTCAGGAGCGTTGTGTGCTTCTGACTTCAGTCAACAAGTGTTGTACATCATTTTCTCTCTATAAAAAACAATAAATTACACTAGACGGAGGTTGCCGTACTATAGCAGTTGTGAGTAACAACTGCAGTCAAAGATAAAAACAGTTTCTATTCCAACCCCTTATATTCACTTCTGACTTGGGCTGAAGTTTTCTGTGTTTGGTCTCTCCCCTGGAGCAAGCTTTTGGGGGAAAGCTAATCAACTTTGGAGTTATTTGGAGACACAGCATAGTAACAAAGAAGGGGACACAAAATGTATTTTGCAACATGTGCTAAAACCTCTAACCGCTCTCACTGAATGGATCACATTTGTTTAGGTTTTTTGTAATTAAACTTTCTTAAAACCAATGCTCTTTTGAAGCATAAGAAAGTCCCCAGTCCTTATTGAGGACTGCTTGTATGCTATCTTTCAAGCTAAAAAGCTGTCAGTACAGGCAGTCCCGGGTTACGTACAAGATAGGGAATGTAGGTTTGTTCTTAAGTTGAATCTGTATGTAAGTCGGAACTGGCGTCCAGATTCAGCCGCTGCTGAAACTGATCAGTTTCAACCCACATTGTACATTATGTTGGTTGTTCACTACACAAACACACACAGAGGAAGTAGTACGTATGTGCAAGATGTCCAAATTAATATTGCTGTTTCCATTTTTAACTTTTAAATTGTCTAGTATGTTTTGATTTAAAGGAGCAACCGTAATGCTTTTTTCTACATTACCCTTTTAATTTTTCTAGATTTTTATAACACATTTTAGAAAGATTTTGTAAGAAAAAATCAGGCAAAAGTTACTTAAATCAGCCTCTGCACATTTCCCTAGCTGCAGATGCATTCACAATAGATCGCTTCTGAAGTATCTTACAGCTACACTGTTTTCTGCTGTGTACGCTCAAAATGCAGTTTTCAAATACAGGCAGTCCCTGAGTTACGCGGATCCGACTTATGTCGGATCCGCAGTTACGAACGGGGCCGTTCCTCTCCCTGGTCTCCAGCAGACCAGGGAGAGGAAGCAAAGCGGCGGAACATGTGGGCAGCGGACAGGGCTGTCCGCTGCCCACGCGCTCCGCGGCTTGGCTCTGCCTTGCCCCCCCGTCCCCCTGGTCTGCAGACCAGGGGGACGGGGGGGCAAGGCAGAGCCAAGCCGCGGAGCGCGTGGGCAGCGGACAGCCCTGTCCGCTGCCCACATGTTCCGCCGCTTTGCTTCCTCTCCCTGGTCTGCTGGAGACCAGGGAGAGGAACGGCCCCGTTCGTAACTGCGGATCCGACATAAGTCGGATCCGCGTAACTCAGGGACTGCCTGTATTTGAAAACTGCATTTTGAGCGTACACAGCAGAAAACAGTGTAGCTGTAAGATACTTCAGAAGCGATCTATTGTGAATGCATCTGCAGCTAGGGAAATGTGCAGAGGCTGATTTAAGTAACTTTTGCCTGATTTTTTCTTACAAAATCTTTCTAAAATGTGTTATAAAAATCTAGAAAAATTAAAAGGGTAATGTAGAAAAAAGCATTACGGTTGCTCCTTTAAATCAAAACATACTAGACAATTTAAAAGTTAAAAATGGAAACAGCAATATTAATTTGGACATCTTGCACATACGTACTACTTCCTCTGTGTGTGTTTGTGTAGTGAACAACCAACATAATGTACAATGTGGGAGCGTTAACCTTGCTTTTGTAACCTTAACATTTGCATTTCCTGACTTTTCGTGGCTAACAGTCCAACTTTCAGTTGCATTACTAATGCAGAGGGTTTTGCATTAATATGTGTACATGTCAGTGTAAATAAAGAAACTTTAAATTTGCTATTAGCATTTTAGAAGGAAGAAAACATTTCTGAAAGCAGAGGTCAAATAATGTAATATTGTGAGGGAGGTAGAATAAAAGAAGTACCAATTTAGTTTGAATCCCTCTATGTCTGCAGGAGTAAATTAAAATAAAGCCATTTGCCAAGGTTATCATTGGCTTGACCTACAATTGTAGCTATGCAGAATGTATTATACTGTTGGCTTGAATCATAAGGTACGTGTGCTGGATAAATCTGCTCTAGTTTAAATGCAGCCATTGTCAATATCATGTTTTAGGACTCCAGTGCCTGGTATGGAAACGCATATTCCAGTTGTTTTCCTTGACTTGAACGGTAAGTGACTCAGGACAAAGCTTTTAAAATAAACGTTGTCTAGCCAATAGCATTATAAGAAATAAACAAACTAATAAAATGAAGAAATTATTTTAGTGCCAGGAATATTAATGAGAAAATTCTATTAGAACTACATTTATTTCATCCAATTATATTGTTTAATGCTCTGGAATACCCAGTAACTACATACAGGATGAACAAACATTTTTATACTCCCTATGTTTTTCAGACCTTAAATTAGTGAAAAGACAGGAAAAAGGGAGGTATAAAATAAGGCAGGAATAAGACTTAGAAGCCCTTGTAAATGTAGATACATCCAGATACGAGGTTTTACATATAGGGACAAGGAATGAAGGTCACACCTACAGAATGGGGGGCTGTATCCTGGAAAGTAGTGACTCTTAATAGGACTTAATGGATTAGTGGAAAATGATCTACTAGTGTGATGGTATGTCGAAGAGAGGCTAACATTGTCCTTGGATGAAAAGTCTCTATGTGGGGTAGCCATGTTTGTCTGTAACTTTTAAAATGAGCAGTCTTGTGGCACATTAGAGACTAACAAATATATTAGGTCATGAGCTTTTGTTGCAAAACCCAGTTCATCAGATAACTTGGAGTGGAAATTACAGAATCCAGAGTATGTATAATAGCAAAAGGAGTTACCTGTCAATTGTCGGATCAGTGTTAATACGAAGTTAATTAAGTCAGGCTGGATGTGTCTTTCATAGCATGTGATGTGGAAATGCAAATATCAAAGGCAGGGAAATTGCCTTTGTAGTGTGTGAACTAATTAAGATCTTTGTTCAAGCCTAAGTTGATAATGTTGAAATTATAAATGAATTCCAGTTCAGCAGATCCTCTTGATGGGTTTGGGCTTCAATCCCCCTTTGGGAGACGTGTAGTAATTTTTGTTGTCAGAAGGAAGGTTGCAGGGTGATGAAGTTTGAGAATCTCTGATCTAGAATCATAGAGCTGCAAAAGATCTCAAGAGGTCATCAGGTCCAGACCCCTGCCCAAGGCACGACCAACCCCAACTAAATCAACACAGCCAGGGCTTTGTCAAGCTGAGACTTAAAAACCTCTAGGGATGGAGATTCCACCACCTCCCTAGGGAACCCATCCCAGTGCTTCACCACCCTCCTAGTGAAATAGTTTTTCCTAATATCCAACCTAGACCTCCCCCACCGCAACTTGAGACCATTGCTCCTTGTTCTACCGTCCATCACTACTGAGAACAGCCTCTCTCCATCCTCTTTGGAACTTCCCTGCAGAAAGTTATCAAAGGCTGCTATCAAATCCCCCCTCACTCTTTTCTTCTGCAGACTAACAAACCCAAATCCCTCAGTCTCTCCTCATAGGTCATGCACTCCAGCCCCCTAATCATTTTGGTCGCCCTCCACTGGACCCTCTCCAATGCATCCACATCCTTTCAATTGTGGGGAGCCCAGAACAGGACACAATACTCCAGATGTGGCCTCACCAGAGCCTATAAAGGGGAATAATCTAGGTCAACCAGAAGTTATGGAACTTGACACAGGAATTGTTGGATGAAATTATCTGGCCTTTGTTAGACAGAAGATCAGGCCAGATTATCTCAATTGTTCTTTCTAGCCTGAAAATCGATTAAAATAAAATTGTGCGGCGATTTTGAAGGGAGTTGTGCACAACTCTTAGGTTTCTTTGAAAATTCCAACCTAGATGAATAGTAAACACAAGGAATTCCAAAACTAAGAAGCTTCTTATAAGAGGTGTAGAGAAGGAGGGAGATGGACTGTTTCATAAGAATAAATATGTGTGTTTTGATTGCCTGAGTCGAGACCCTGCTCACACACACACAGTTCAGTGATAGAAATGTAGCCGTGTTAGTCTGGGGTAGTTGAAGCAAAATGCAGGACAATGTAGCACTTTAAAGACTAACAAGATGGTTTATTAGATGATGAGCTTTCGTGGGCCAGACCCACTTCCTCAGATCAAATAGTGGAAGAAAGTAGTCACAACCATATATACCAAAGGATACAATTAAAAAAATGAACAAATATGAAAAGGACAAATCACATTGCAGAACAGAAGGGGGATGCGGGGGGGTGGGAAGGGGGAGGAAGGAAGGTAAGTGTCTGTGAATTGCTGATATTAAAGGTAGGGGAAGTTCAGTGACTGTGGTGACACACAGTTCAGTGACTGTGGTGACACATATCTGGACCAGAATTGTGTTTAAGAGCAGTTTTCCAACATATATTAGCTGTTAGCACAAGCAACACAGGCATACGTTCTTTTAAATTGTACCAGCTGATACTGCTATAGGTTCCTTGTCCTGGATAGGCGATACTGTTGTTCTAAATGAGGGTGTGACACAATTTGCAACCACATTATCTATGGATGCAAGTATTGTAACCGGCTTTCTGTAACCATGACTTCCGACACTGCTGCAAGTTCCAGGAAAAGAAGGATTTCATATAGCACACTTCATACCAAAGGCTCCCAAAGCACAAGCACACTCCCTGCACAAAGCAGCACAACAGTTTTTAGGCAACGTGTGAAAGATACCCTCTTGAAATCAGACTAAGGTGGTATTCACTTAGGCAGAAACTAAGTAATTGTCCAATTTGGCATTTGGCCAGTGCACAAAAATGAATGCCACTGCTTTCTTACGCTGTTTGAAATGGAGTACGGTTCTTGTTTCTTTTAACATTTTTGTGTCTTCTGCGTTGCTAGCGGATGACTTTAGCTCTCAAGATAACCTTGATGACCCAGAACCTGGTGGATGGGATGCTACTCTCACTGGGGAAGAGGAAGATGAATTCTTTGAATTGCAGATTGTGAAACACCATGAGAGTGAGGTAAGCAAGAGCATGGCGCAGAATGCTGAAGATCAGGAGACTTTTCATCTCATTAACCACCTCTTAACAGGGCTTATCTACAGAGGGAGTTACTCTGGAATAACTGTTCCACTTCCAAAGTGGATTAAGGTCATTCAGAAAGAGGCTTCTGTTAGAATAAAATAAAAGCATGGAGTTCATCTGTTTTTTAATTCATACTTTTCTGTGTAGCCAACCTCTTACCTAGACAATACAGGAGTGCATCTAGTCTGACATATCAAGTATCCAGCACTTGTACTTTCTAAGGGTTTTCAGAATTGTTCTCTAGGAGTGGAACTTCATTGACCATCCCCTCCACCAAGGTTGGGGGGGAACCCATATCTTAAAGTGGAGTTGCGGGTGTTTGGCTGCCTTATATGTGCATTTCTATATCTTAATATGTTTGGATTTCTTTTCCGTTTCAGACATTCTTAACTTGGAATTTCTTGATTCTGTAATAATTAATTTGGGGATAAATTTTTTAACTTCCAACTTACAATACTTAGTCTGCATTTTAACTCCAATTTAACAGTTGTTTTTGTCTGAGAATTTCCTCAGACGTCTAAAATTGGTAAATTTTTTCTGAATGCTCCCTAAACAAGAAACCCAAAGAGCTGCTATTGCTACTATATGGTATTTCTAATTATTTGAAGATGTGCAGTATCAACTTTCAATAATACTATTTTTATTTTATGGCCAGGGAAATTCCCTTTTTTCCTGCTTAAGCCTGATAAGAGCTGTGTGATATGAATATTTTTAACACTATTCAGGCCAAATATGTCTCCACTATCAAGCCAAAGATGGGCATTTTTAAGTGAAGTACATTGAAATTCGTCTTCCAGTGATTCAGTTCGGCTCTTTCTGGACCGTCTTCATAATGAGTAAGATGAAATGGTCCTGTCCTTTTAAAATGTACAGTCAGAAATCTAGGAGCTTTGTAAATCTTTTTCAGCATCCCGGCAGGAAGTAGCAATACCTGAAGTTTCTCTCTCTCTCTCTCTCTCTCTCTCTGTCTGCTGGGTCAAGCCGATGCAACAGTGGGGGCTACTGTACTTCAAGCATCTTTGTTGCTAGCAGTCCTCGCACCCTCCTCGGTGTAAATACTGCCTGTCAGTCACCCATGTGTGGAACATGCATTAGGGCCAGTGCTCAAAGAACTGGAAGTCACTTACCTGTAACTGAACATTCTCTGAGATGTGTGGTCCCTATCCGTATTCCACTACCACTCCTCCATCTCCTTTGCTTCTGATTCTACTGGGCTCGTGGTAAGAAGAACTGGTTAGGTGTTGGCCTACACTGCCTCTCATGCTTTAGGTGTGGAGAGCTGAAGCTTGTTAGAATTTACAGACTCAAACGTCTGACGTGCATGCATGCCTACATGTGGAACACAGATGGGGACCACAGATCTCAAAGATCTCCCACTTACAAGTAAATAGCCTCCATTTTAAAATCCAAGTAGCTGTCCTGGTAGATCAGTATGGATAGTCAAATGGCCTCTTATGCAACAGACATTGGTTTGTTCCCCATTCTATGCGAATTGGGAATGTCGGGGTTAATATTTACATAGTAGAGGAGATGGCTTTCTTCGTTTGCAGGTGAAAGTAGAAGCCTCCTGGGATTCCACAGTCCATAACTGCATTCAGCTCAGCAAAGGAACAGCAACAGATGAAAGAGTTTTCCTTATTGTGAGAGTCACTGTCCAGCTCAGCCATCCTGCCGAAATGCAGCTGGTGCTGCGCAAACGCATCTGCGTTAATGTCTATGGGAAACAGGTACGTCTTTTAAAACTCTCCAGGGAGTTTGGAGGAGATGAGAGATTGGAGGTAAAGAGCATTTGACTTGCTCAAAACCAAACAGAATTCAGTAATTCCTGGCCTCCAATTCTGTGCTAGGTTTCCTACTCTCTAGCTCACTTCGGTGCAGCATTTTAATACTGGTGCGGCCTTTGTTTTGGTGGATTTGATAGTTTTCCAGCATTGCTTGAAATGGAGGCTGTATTTTTAAATGTTTTATGGGAGCTGTGTACATGTAACTCTGAACTGTGACAAGTAGCCTTTGGAGGAAAACTAAATTAATAGTGGCTTTCTAAAAAGAGTCTTTAAACATACTCTTAGCCGGAAGCATCTGTAGCAGCAGGTCTCAAACTGGGGTCTGCAAGGGTGCCTCTACACAGCACCCTAAACTAGAAATAAGATATGCAATTTGCGCTATGCAAATTGCGTATCTTATTTCAAATCTATTTTGAAATAGCTTATTTTGAAATTTGGCACATGCACAAATTGGCACTACACAGCACCAAATTTCAATATTATTGGTATTACCTATATTGAGTATTCTCTCTGATGCCAATCCTTTAACATTGGATAGAGGTCAGTAGGTGTTAGTTTCGTGAACCAAGAGCTCATGTTTTGTAGATTAGTGAAATGGGTCTAATTTGACTATGTATCCTAAGTAACACCTGTGCTGTTTCCCCATCAGTAATGTTTACTGCATCTGTTGCTGGATACTGACTTCTCTCCCAGTCTGAAGCTGGGAAGAGGGAGAATTCTTCTCAACACTGCCCCGAAATTTGGTTTCCATGGCGAGCAACAGTGTTAGAGAAGATCACAGGGTGGGAAGAGACCTCAGGATGTCATTGGGTCCAGCCCCCTGCCCAAGGCAGGACCAACCCCAATTCAATCATCCCAGCCAGGGCTTTGTCAAGCTGGGACTTAAAAACCTCTAGGGATGGAGATTCCACCCCCTCCCTAGGGAACCCAGCCCAGTGCTTCACCACCCTCCCAGTAAAAAGTTTTTCCTGTGGAGGTACTGAGCTGCTCCTCTGTTTGCGCTACTGGAAGCAGACTTTGGAATGAGGCCAGAAGGGGCATGGCCAAGCTCCAGACAGAGTCCTGTGGACACATCCGAGTTGCTGATCGTATTTTGAGGAATAGCACTAGATGTCTGGCTAGGGACAAAGTCATTCCCAGAACAGGGAAGCCAATTTTCCGTTATCCAGGACTGTGAGGGTGGGGACCCCCATGTCTGAGAAATCATTTGTAGGCTCCATGCATCATAAAGATTGTATTGAGTCTTCACCAGTGCTGATCTCTACTGCCAGCTGAGTCAGCCATGTTTTTAACTATTTGCCAATACAAAATATTCAGTCTTCTCACTAGGTTTTTTTTTTTAATCCCCAATGATGACCTTTCCTGGCTGTTCAGACTCAGCATCTTTCAATGACTCATCTCTGCATTAATTTAACAGTCCAGTTCTTAACCCTGCGTGGCGCCGCGTCAGCATAAACAATGATTGTGCCCTTTTAAATCATTCTTTGTAACGATTCCTTTGGTCAAGAACTAAATGTCTGTACTGTCAATATTCAAGAAACGTCAACCTGGGCTCTCCCCCCCCCCCCCCCAAAAAAACCCTCCCCAAAAACAAACCCATCATTTGTTTACTAGTTAAAAGGTATGTCTTATGTAGAAAAATAATCCAATTTCTACACCTGTAAACAGGCCTGGAGGGGAGGGGAAGGAAATAGTTGCCCTTGGGCCCTGCAATTTAAAAGGTCCTGGGGCTCCCAGCCATCATGACTGCTAGCAGAGACGGGGGATAGTGTGGCACGTTCCTGGCAGAGCTGCCCCAATCCTGCCCCTTTTGCCTGAGGCCCCACCCCTTCCAGGAGTGCATAGCTACTCACCTTGCCCAGAGACCTGGCAAGTTTGTCTCCCTCCCCCCATCTTCATCTGTAATGAAGACAGAAGTAAATGATTTTGATTTTATTTGGATTCAAGTGCTTTGCTGCCTGCTTGTTTTATCTGTTCTGTTGTTTGCCTTATACGATAATTAGCTTCTGTTGAGACTGTTATTTTAAAACACTTTTTTTTAACGAACCATTTTTCCCCTTTCCTCCGTCCTCTGCAGAGTTTTGCACAGAGCTTCCTGAAAAGAATGTCTCACCGAAGTTCCATTCCTGGCTGCGGAGTCACCTGTGAGATCGTCTCTAATATTCCAGAGGTGAGTAACTAGGAATAGAAACAGACAAAGGGACACCAGCATTGTGAAATCTCACATCTGTTTGAATATTCATTACCTGTTGTTGCTACTCATCATAACTAAGATTCCTAGAACAGAAAAAGAGTAGACAAGCCGTTTGGGTGTGCATCCAACTCCCTCCTGTCTCCAGTGTGTCCCTCCCTCTGTCCCCAGGTGGTCCTGAACCCCCACGCATTCAGTATCCGGGGGAGGGGGTCGGGCTCCATTCTGTTTCTCTCCCATCCCATGCCTCGTCACCTGATCCCACAGTCAGAGCATTGTGAGGAACTCAGCCTCTGCCCCCTCCCTCTCCATGGCTGTCTGCTCTACCCCACTCTTCAGGCACCACATAATTGCCTGGCGAGCAAACGGTGTAATTGCAGCACGACCCTTCTTGTGGCTTCCTTTCACCTCTCCTCAGATTCTGCTACTCTGCTGGGGGGGGGGGGGGAGATGTGTGGGAGACATTTAATTCTGCGCTTGCACAGTGGCACAGAATTCCCCCAAGGTTAGCCTTTCCATTGCTTGAATGTGGTACCTCCCCATGAAACTCTGCTGACCAGGAAAGAGAACCAGCAGTTACAGCTCAAGGGCTGGACTCCGCAAAACACCACAGAAGCATCCGTCCGCTTTCTATGCTGAAGGAGCCCCTAAAAAGTCTTTGTTGCGGGATTCCTACATGTACTGCAGAAGCAGGCTAATTTCTTACCTGCTTGAGAGGAAAATTCAATGGTGAACCAATGTCATCCATTGTTTTTCAAAGCCTTCCTATGGTCTGTACAGTAAGGAAGGGTGGATTTTTTGGGTCGATTGCCTGTATTTTGGGGGTTTCTGAATTGGAAATATTTACTTGAAACAAGGCAGCCTTTCTCTGCTTCGTCCCAGGATACTCAGGGAGCTGAGGAGCGGGAAGCGCTAGCAAGGATGGCCGCTAACGCTGAAAACGCAGCTTCGGCGGACTCGGAAGCATACATTGAAAAGTACCTGCGGAGTGTTCTAGCAGTGGAGAATATTCTCACCCTCGATCGTATTCGCCAGGTGCCTTTTTTTTCCCCCAGTGCTAGAGTTGACAATCAGTAAACATACCGAGTGAGAGCCTTGTTCTGTGGAAATCTTTGTGTAAGTTTAAATGACTTAAACAAGAGGGCCACTTCCTCCGTTCTGCATAGTGCCCTGTGACAAACATCCTAGGAAGCAAGTGCAGGCTGAAAGCTCTTTTACCTAGTTACTCCTTCTAAGTGATATTCAGTACAGATGGGGTTGAAGGTTGATATCAGTGGCATTGTCTGTTCCGGGTCTTTCTGTGTGGCTTAAGACTCAATGTGCACTGCCAGAATTGTATTTCCAAAAAGATCAGTTGTGTGTGAAGTTGTCTTTAGAATTAAACACAGAGTTTCAGAAAGCAAGTTTTCTGACGTCGTTAGCAAACCTTGTGTCATCTTGTACACACTATGCATTGGAGTGACCGAGCCGGGTCTATCCATAAGCAAGACATTGATTAAGTTAACTGTAAATATTGTAACTTGATCTGTTTACCAGGAAAAACTCAGGAGAGGGACACATTTATGGAAAACTGTATTTCTTGGTATAAATTATGCAAGCAAAAGACATAGTTATGCAAAACAAATCTGAGCATGTGCTTACCCCGTATAAATTAACAATAAAGTGCTCTGCACTCTAAGTATTGAAAGCAAGTTCTCTGTCAAATATAATTACTTTACAGGATTAAAATAGGAGCTCAGCTAGGTAAAAGAGTCTCTGTTCACATCTGTTAGAGTTACATCCCTCCCATAGGTGCGGTGCTATAGATGTTGGGTGACAGTATAAAATAGTAGCCATCCCACTGAGCAAACAGTTACTAGTGGACCAAACTTGCCCTCTCCATGTAGACTTCCTACTATCAGCATTCTATATGAGATGCTGAAGATTAAATTGTGACATCTCCTTTCTTTCTATGGTTCATTAGGACTGTATAGAAATATTTTCATGTATATATAAAACCACACTTCGATCCTGGTTTAGATGTTTGTAAAGAATTTCTGTCCTGATGTCTTGACTGATCCGCAGGAGGTTGCAGTCAAAGAGCAGTTAACGGGGAAAGGAAAACTGAACAGGAGGAGTCTCAGCTCTCCCAACGTCAATCGGGTAAGTATGCCACAGTCGCATCTGTAGTCCCTTGAGGAGAGCAGAGCTAACCCTGAGTATGCATCTCACAGGGCCCTAAGCTGTGGAACAATAAGACAATGAGTTGCCTCTGTCTGGTCCCCCAGTTGTACCACTGGTGATGGTGAGAAATACGGCAGCATGTGAATTCTTGAAAGGAGACAAAACCCACAAATGTCCATATCCTGATCACGTAGGCTCGGGTTCAAAACACTCAGACCTGTCCAGACTGTGAGACAATAGCCGTGTGAAATGTACTTCTATACCCACTACTCTTTTTTGAAACACAGAAGGTTTTTTGTCCAATTATCAAGTAAATATTACAACTCTTGTCTGAAGATCTAATACTGATGAATTAAGCCACATACCTGCCTGAGATGTAGGAATTATATTTTCTATTTCACACATGAAGGAACTGAGACAAAGATTTTTGACTTGACCAAAATCACACAGGAAATCTATGGTAGAGCGTAGGGTAGATCCTAAGGGTCCAGTCAGTGAAAGCTCTACCATAGACTTTGGTGGGGACAGCATTTCAGCCAAATCTCTTGACTCCCGGTTTTGTGTTATAACTGCAAGACCATCTTTCCTGCTCTCATGCAAGATGCATGTATTACTTAAGGTACTTAACAGTTTGCAGAAACTACTGTATGTTTTTACATGAATCATTTCAGACATCTGGAAGCCGTCAAGATTTAGCTCCCGTGTACAGCCTTGGAAGTCACAAGGTAAATATTTAAAGGTTTTCTACAGAAAAGTCATTAGAGAATTTCCTTTATGGCAGAGGTGGCCAACCCGCGGCTTGTGAGCCACATGTGGCTTTTCAAAAAAAAAATTGCAGCTCCCACACCCACGGCTCTGAAAGAGGCAGCGTGCTTCAGTGACAGAGCTGGAGTTGCGGTGTCCCATTCCGACTTCAAAATGGCCATCTTAAAAGGGCAAGGCCTGTTCTGCTCTTAAAAGGGCGGTGGCTAGGGCCTTTTTTTTTTTCTTCTTTTTTGCTCAACAACTTTTTTCCCTCGGCTCTTTGCGCTGTATCCACCACTATTTTGGCTCTTTGTCTGTAACGGGTTGGCCACCCCTGCTTTATGGCAATTTGTGACTGTTGAAGAGGAAATCGGGGAATTTTCCCTTCCGTTTTGTGGCATGTGGCCCCAGAATCAACCCTATCACCCACCATAAAAAAAATCACTGGGACTTGGTTCAAAAAATAATTTTGTGTAAAGATCAAAGAATTACTTTTGAGAGACTTATCAAGGTCTAGATAGGCTACATGGTCTTCCCATGACCTGCACAGTACTTGTGTGTGCATTTATGTATATGCATGTCTAGAACATAGGGATGAGGAGTTTTAATACATAAGGCAATGGTATGAAGAAATCAAGTTTTCATAGAAGGTCTAATATTGGTAGTTAAATGTCTGTTCCATATAGAAAATGTTAAAACATCTGCAGGTAATGGGTTTGTAGCAGCATCCATAGAAATATCCTACAGTTTCTCATTAAAATGCTGTGTAGTCATTTATGAACTAAGAGGAAAAAATCCTTATATGAATGTTTACTGTTTTTGTTTGTTTTCTACCCCTTCCTCTCATATCCCATACTGCATGCTTCAGTGTCCAGAGGTCCCGGGAGAGGTAACTAATACATTAGGTCCGCCTAATGAGTGAGATAAACTTCTTATCCCACTGTAGTTATTAGATTGTTCTTAGTCCAAAGTCCTTTGTTATAAAATATTTCTGCCTGTATGGCCATTCTAGTCCCGCTAGCCCAGACTCCTGACTTCCAATAGTGCCCAATGCCCAGTGCTTCAGGGGGAATGAACAGGACATGACAGTTATCAAGTGATCCATTCTCTGTCATCCGCTCCCAGGGAATGGGGTTATTTCTGACCATCTTGGCTTATCGCCATTGATGGGGGCCTGTTCTCCATGAACTTATCGAATTATTTTTTTAACCCAGTTATCGTTTTGGTCATTACATCATCCTCTGGAAACAAGTTCCGCAGGTTGAGTGTGTTGCGCCTTTTGTTTCTCTTAAACCCACCATCTATTAATTTCATTGGGTGAGCCCTAGTTCTTATGTAATATGAAAGAATAAATAACACACTCCATGCTATTTGTGATTGTATAGCTCTCTATCATATCCCTGCCTTAGTCACCTCTTTTCCGAGCTAAAAATTCCCATTCTTTTTAATCTCTCCTCCTATGGAAGCTGTTCTTTACCCTCAGTCATTTTTCTTGATCTTCTCTGTATCTTTTCCACTTCTAATATCTCTCTTTTAAGATGAGGTGACCACAGTGGTCTGCACTGTTCATGGTGTGGGCATACCATGAATTTATACAGGGGCATTATGGTATTCATTGCCTTTTATGTATGCCTTTCTTAATGGTCCTAGGTTTTTGTTGGACTGCCACTCCACTCTGAGCAGTGTTTTCCAGAGACCTCTCCACAGGCACTCCAAGAGCTTTTGTGAATGATAACAGCTAATTTAGAGCTCATCATTTTGTGTAAAGATGGTTAGGATTATGTTTTCCGATGTGCTTTACTTTTCATTTATCAATGCTAATTTCACGAGTCATTTTATTGTCTAGTCACCCAGTTTTCTCAGGTCCCTTTTGTAACTGCTTGCTGACTGTTTAAGACTTAACTATCTTAAGTAATTGTGTATCATCTACAAATTTTGCCATCTTGCTGTTTATCCCTTTTTCCAGATGATTTATGAATATGTTGAATAGCATAAGCCCCAGGACAGATCTTTGTGGGAGTCCACCATTTGTGTGCCTTCATTGTGAAAACTACCCTTTTATTCCTATCCTTTATTTACTGTCTTTTAGATCTATTAGAGGATCTTCCCTCTTAGCCTATGACTGCTTATTTTGTTTGAGTCTTTGGTGAGAAACTTTGTCAAAGGCCTTCTAAAAGTCCAAGTACATTATCTGCTTTGGATCAGCCTTTTCCCCATGTTTGTTGCCCCCCCTCCCCTTCTTGCTGTGTAGACGGAGCAGAAACTTAAATTCAGGTGCGTCGATTCCAGCTACGTAATTAGCGTAGTTGGAGTTGCATATCTGAATTCAGCCTTCCCCTTTAGTGTAGACCTGGCCTTAGAGTAATAGTTTAGGAGTTAGATTCCTGGCTAGGACTTCACCTTGGAGCAGTGTTCCCCAATGTTCATCAGGTAGCTGAGTGATGTCTATTAGTGACCCCCACGAGAACTGTTTAAAGTGTTTGTTGGAGTCTCACAAGAAAGGTGAAGTACAGGATTTGCAAAAACTTTTGCCCTCAAACTCAGAGGGAGCTGGATAGCCGCTTGAGGGCCCTCCTCATGGAGGCTGTGCTTTGGACTACCGCTGAACCCGCTCGATTAGCACCAGGGCATCGGCGCGCAGTACTGTCATCAAAATCCATACACCACCATTCCCTCTTGCCAGTGCCTACGAAGCGGTCAAAATCGACAGGCCTGCCAGCAGCACAGGAACAGGGCAAAGGACCTGTTCTTCTTCGAGTGATGACTCGTGTGCATTCCAAGATGTGTGCGCCATGCACAGTCAGAAGATTTTTCCCTAGCAGTACCTGTCAGGTCGGCTATAGCGCCCCCTGTAGTGGCATCTCCATGTGCATATATATACCCCTGCCGACCTGACACCCACTCGGTTCCTCCTTTCTGCCAGAGACGGTCATTGGTCGTTAGTCCCAAGTGTCTGCTGTGATCTGACCCCCTAGTCCAGCCAGAGGCCCATCTCTAACCCCTACAAGCAGTAGGGGGGTCCTGTCCCCTGTCTAGCTCCCACAGGAAGAAGAGAGAGCCAGAGGATTTAAATGGTATCACCCTTCATCTTCCTGTTCCTCTGCCAGACATGGTTCTTCCAGAGGCCAAGGAAGGCAGAAACGGGCATTTTGAGGATGCACCTGAGGGTAGCCTCCCAGTCATGTCCCAAGAGCCCTCTGCACTTTCCTCACCTTCCAGCTGACCTCCGACCATTGGATGCTCAACATATCTTCGGGGACAGCCTGCAGTTTGTGGCTGATCCATCCTGCCACCCCCCTTCTCCATCTCTCTTCAGAATCCCTTCTCATGAGAGACTCCCTCAGGATGTGGAGACCCTCCTATGCCTCAGGGCAGTAAAGGAGGTGTCTCCAGATTTGAAGGGGAAAGGGTTCTCTTCCTATTTCCTAATACCAAACACAGAGAGGTACCTGAGACTTGTTCTGGAACTGCACCACCTCAGAAAGTCTCTCAAAAAGTGCAGATTTCTCCTTACCTTGAGGACTAATAAAGAGCCGGTCACTTGATCACTTTTGCTGGTACCTTCAAAGCACAGTTCTTTCTTCAGAGCCTGACCTGTACCATGGATTAGATTATCTGCAATGCTAAATGCTAGGTTGTCCTCTACTTCTCTCCTTGACTTCTGGGTATCTGCCATAATCCAGTTTCTGTTCTTTCCAGTGTATAGAACACAACAAGCAAGATCATCTTGGTTTGTTTCTTGCAAAGCTCATCTCCGATCTACCACTACAGCCTATGCACTAGCTCCACAGTAGCCCAGATGTCAGGGCTGTCCACATCCATCCTCATTATCTCCTGCTCTTCCTCTCTTTCCTGCAAACTTCAGTCGTGAATGCTACCATAGGAGGCCACAAAGTCTTCCTAGATTGCTGGATTAGAAGTTGCCAGTAAGGTCATCTAGTCAGACCTACACATAACGAAAGAATTTCCCTCAATGATTCTTGCAATTAGCCCTCTGTGGTTGTAGGTGGACAAAGGAGTCTGCCAATGTCAGTGGGAACTGATGATGGTCAGCGCCTCTTGGGGATGCAGCTGAAAAAATGTTGGGGCCTGGAGTCTGTCCTTATCTTTGCACATTCTGCCTACTGCCAGGCACTGTATTTGCTGTCATGCTGCACAAGTATTAGCAGACTCCTGTTCTGCACAATACTTTTGAAATATAAACTCACCTTTCCCCTAGGGTCGATGGGAGAGCCAGCAAGATGTATCCCAAATTTCAACACATTCTGGTAGTGGGACAGCCCCATCTCGTACATCTTCAGCAGGCTCTGCTCAGCAAAACCATTCTAATGATCCAGGTAACAGCTTCCCCAAAGTTAAACTGGCCGTGGCCAAGTTTAGAGTGAAATACCCTTTGCAACTGCGGGCGAAAAAGGGGGGAAGGCAGTCCATCTGGGTGTACAGTTGGAATACCTGTTGAGTTCTACCATCGTGCTCTGTATTGTGCAAACTTACATTGAGCACCGGTAAGAACTTGACATTCACTGGCCGGAGCACCTGCTCTAACCGTTGTTCATTGTGATATGGTGAAGCCCCAGCTCTGTACTCACTGGCTGGTGTGCTAGGCACTTAATAGTGCCCACCGTTGGTGAAGACACAGACCTTGCCTCCTGAAACTTAAATTCTTAAATCACAGACAAAGCAATTCAGACACATCATAATATACCATATGTTATGCAAGTAACATTGCAAAAGCTGAAAAACCACCCAAGAGCAGGGCAAGATGGCTATTTCACATATTATGCCCAACGTATACAGAGTGCAGTGATAGTCTGTTTTTATACACTGGTTATAACTAGTGTTTCTCCAGGGGGATAAGAACAGACTGACCGCAATAAAGTAACAGGTACGATCAGGGAGAGCTGCATGGCCAGTGTTTTGTTCTGATGCAGTCATGATTAATTCTGTCCATTTTGCTCTTTCTAGAGTGTGACGTAGTAATCAAGTTCACCTTGTTAAAGTTTTGCACTTTTAATATTTGATCATCTGTGTCACTTGTTCCTGGATCTTTAAATTCTGCCACTGCAACTCTTAAAGCCTGCAGTGTTTCCAGACCCATGTATGTAACTTAAGCTTTGGCATCCTAGATGAGAGAGGGAGTTCTTATCCCTGTTCTACAGAAGGGCTTACTGTACTACAGAGAGCTTGTGACTTGCCCAGGATCACACATTAATTCAGTGGAAGAGCAGGGAATAGGAACAGGAGTCCTGACTACTAATCCTTTCTTGCTCTGACTTCTAATCAACTGCCTGTTCATATGTTTTCTGTTGTGAAAGAGCCACAGCTGTTGATTCTGCTTTTTCTTTAAACTTTGTTGACAGGACTCAGTAGCCTGGCTGCCTCTTACCTGACTCCAGTAAAATCCTTTGTGCCTCAGATGCCAAAGCTGCTTAAGTCTCTCTTTCCTGCTAGAGAGGAGAAAAAGGGCAGGCAGACCTCTCCTCTTGCCCAGCAGGTAAAAAAAAAAAAAAAAAAAAAAACCCACACCCCCACAACAGTACTGGTGAGCACTGCTATAATGACTTGCTGACAGAAAGCTATTTTGTATGTTGCTGCAGGACAGACCAAGCTTTTAGTCATAGTAAAAGCTTATATGATACATTTCCCCTCCACTTTATCCAGAGATAGTGGAGCTTTTTTAACTTATTGATACTCTCAGCCCACTTGGCTTTTTAAAAATGCCAAGTGCGCTACTAATGTGATTTATGGTAATACCACTCGCAGCAACAATAGTAAAATTTATGAAGTGCACTTAGTGTTGTTTGTATGTTGCCAAGTGCAAAATGTAATTCTATTTTTAATTCCTGATTTCATTTCCCATCATCCACCCTTTAGCACCTTGGAGCAGTAGCTTTTATTTCTATCCTAGTGTATTCCACATACCAGAGAAGCACCTCCTCTTTTTCATATACTGTGCAAGTCTCCACCTGTTGCTACCTGGAGCCCTTGTGCTCCAGGTAGCAACGAGTGCATAGTTAAATATGAGAACAAGCTAGCCTTTTTCTTAGAGACAGACATATTGAAAATGAGATCTTCAACTTTATAGGCCCTAGCTTATTTTATACAAATAGCTGGCATTGCTCAGAAAAGCCCTCTTCACTGTGTGCGACTCATGAAGTACGTGAAGGTGTTTCATTGCAGGAGTGAACAAAACAGAGTTCAGAATCGTGTATACATTTTAAACAAAAGCCTGAAGCTGTGTCTTCAGCTGTTCTAAATCAGCAATATTCATCTTGGCCTATGCTCTGTTAGGGTACTTCTAAACTGGGGGGCAGGAGGGGTGGAATAAAAAGTGAGTCTCAGTGCCCAGGCTCATGCTACAGCACTAAAAATAGCTGTGTCGACGATCCAGCTCAGGTCCAAGACCAGCCCTACTCACCAGGTTTTAGAGCTGGAATTCCAATCCTGAAGTTTGAGCGCTCTGTTATGCCCTCCCATGTGTTGCTTCATGGGAGCATTATCAGGTAGCGTAGAATCCAAAATTTAGTTTTAGTTTTAGTTGGATAATACATATGGATACGCAGTGAGCGTGTTAGAAGATGTGTATTAGACAAGATGGGTGAGATCATATCTCTCCTGGGACAAACATGAGTACAGTGACAATGCATGCAAGTTATATATTCCCGTTTTCAGAAATTCTGTGTTTTAACTTCCATGAAAAGCTTTTGTGGTAGAGTTTCAGACTTTCCTGAGCAATGTAAGATCAGAAAGTGAAACTGATCACATTTTTGTCTTTGTTCAAGCCTAGTGAAACACCTACTTGTTGTAAAGAGCATAAAAGGAGGAAAAATACATTACAATATTAAATATTCTGTGTTTTAGCTATCTGAGAATATAAGCACAGATAAGGATGGTTTTTAAAATGACCTTTTTGAGTATTCATGCAGATACATTGCATACTGTGTCTTTTCTCTCTCAAATAATGAAAACATCGTTTACTCCATTTTTCCCTAATGATTCTGTTTGTACTCTACCTTTCATCCAAGAGTGTGAAAGTGCTTCACAACCACAGTGGCAAGTAGATAACCCCTCTGATCTAAGTTTACCTGTCTTTAAAATTGGGATAATAAGTTAAAGGGCCAAATTTTTAAAAGTATTTTAGATGCCTAAAAATGCAAATAGGGGCCTAGTGAGATTTATAAAGGTTCGTAATGGCTTGTATGCACACAAGGCACTCAAGAAAGTTGATCTGAATTTTCTGAAGGTGTGAACTTTAGGTGGATAGCTAAACGGTCCTAAATCTCTGTGTGAGTGTCTCTCTCTCTCAGGTTAAACAATCCCTAAGTGAATTGCCTGGCAGATGGCAGAGCCAGTATTAGAACTCAGAAGTCCTGATTTCCTAACCCCTATTCAGATTTATTGTCTGCACTCCCTCATATAGATGAAGACCAGTTGGTACATTATTTGTTTGAAGTAATTTTTTTCAATTATAAAGCCAGCAGTTTAAAGAAACTTTGCATTTAAATGACAGCATAGTAGAAATGCTCAGATAACCACGTGATGGCTAGGGTTGAATGTGAAAGATTATTATTTCTGACTATTACAAATAAATAAAATGGCTGATGAAGAAAGAGGGGTGTGCAGAGTTTTTAACATTTGATTATATTGGAGAGCAACCCACGGTTTTCCAGGGCCGTTGGATCAATATAATGAAATGATAAAATTAATACTGGCTTAATGCTTTTAGTTTTCTTAATGTAACAAGTCAGCTGCATTACAAGCTCAGGTCATCTGTTGGCCATAAGAAACATATATTCTTCATTGCTCTGTCAGTAAATGAAGTGAGCTTCCTAATCCCCACTGGGAACTGCAATGCACAGAAGAAAAAAAAGCAGTAATTGAAGTAGAGCTATAGAACTAGCTCCCTCCCATATTGCACCAAAAGATAAATATCGACTGTTGGAGGAAGACTTCTTTTTGAAAAATGTAAATGATACTGTGACTCATGTGAACTTATTTGCACTTTGTGCATAGCTGGACTGATACGAACATGTTCTCATGGGTTAAGTCCAGGCTAAAGGAATGTAAGCAAAGGGTATTAGTGGTAAGTGGCTGTGTATTGAGCAGAAGACGCTACAGGGTCAGTGTTAGGTGTTCAGCTTCTTTTTAATTTGGCAGAGGCAAATGGTTGACTGGTTAACTCCTGCAGGTGTTACTAAGGTGGGAGGTGTTGGAAATTCCACTGATGACTAAGCCACAATAAATAGGATATGGCCAAGGAGAGAAATTATATTGAACCTAGAAAAATGCCAGCTAGTGCACCGTGAGGAGCAGTGGCAAGACAAAACTCCTATAGTCAATGGGAAAGAAGCTAGTGGAAATGGTGTAATGCCAGTGGTGGTTGCAAATGGCCAACTAGAAAACATTGCCCAAGAAAAAATACCAAAGTGAAATTCTGGCAACCCTTGCAAAGGAATCTCATCACTTAAAGAATTGATGGGCTTTTTTCTGGTACAGAGTGCACCTTGGATATTGCATGCAGTTAATAGGGTACCCCTTAGGTGCTCTATGAATACACAATAATTGTCAGAAAGCGATCAACAAATTAGAGAAAATTAGAGAAGACCAACAAAAATGACTTAAAGGCTGGAGGAATTGATTTACGAGGGACGAGTAAAAGATCTATATTGGTTTAGCTTCACTAAAGGAAAAATGGTAGAGATGTGAGATGTCTATAAGCATTGGGATGTAAATAATGAGGAAGGGAGACTGATTGCTTAGGATAGTTCTGAGGGATATAACTAGAAGAAGGGGGTGAAATTAATCAATAGGAAACTTTCAATTAGTATCAAATTTTTTTTAAAAAAGATCTATTAGACAATAGATTCTGAAAGGAAATAGTGGAAGGCCCATTGCTTGAGTCATTTAATACTATTGTGGACAGAAGCACTGGAGATGGATGGTAGAGAACAATTGTGCTGTGGCAGAGATGGACAACATAGTGTTTTCTATCTATACATTTTATGGGCAGATTGATTAATTTAGTGGACTGTGTGGCATAAGGAAAGGTGCTTTCTAAGGTTTTACTGTGGTGCTACACTTCTTTTTTTTTTAAAAAAAGTCTTGTATCTAAATGTATCCATGTTTTGGTGTGTTGGAATACCTTTCTTGTTTCTTATTGGATCACAAGTTGCATGACAGATACCACTGCTTAATTTAAATTCTAAGCTTGCAGAAAAGATTGTTCTTCAAGTAGTATCCCAGGTGTTTTATTCCCAGTGTGCTGTTGATCAGAGATTTTTGGTAATAGCATCTCTTGTCTCTCACGGGTGCTCTGCTCGTCCTTGTGCTTTGCACCGAGGACACATAGGACTGCATGGGCAAACCATCCTCAGTTCCTTCCCAACTGTCATAATCTGGAAGAGAGCGCTAGCACGCCCACTTGACTATTTTCTATTAGTTTTTAGTCCAATTAATTGCTTTCCTTTCCTTTTCTTTAATCTTGTACTTAGTTGGTTTTGTAGAGGGCTTTGTTGTGTAATCCCCTCTCTCTTTTTCTTCTTTCTAGTGTATACCAGGGTCTCCAGATTTCAAATGTTGCCTTACTTGCAGAGAATTTATCCTGATCAGTGGCAGACATTTGCAGTGGATCTGCTGCTTGCAGGAAATGCATATCCCTCAAAAGTGTACCATATGCTCCGCTTTTAAAAGCCGAGCTAGGAAGAATCAAGAGAGAAATCTTCAGCTCTTAACGATGGAGCCTTTTCTCCATCTCTCTCACCTAAACCTACTTAGGAGAGATCCTCTGAGGACTCAATCTCATCCTACTCTGCTTTGAGAAACTCTTGGTCTCTTCAAAGTGAAACCTCATTGGAGACTGCATGTCTCACTTTGGGTACCAACGAAGCTCCAAGTTCCATCAGTACCTAGCCTGTACCTGGAACTCCAGCCCCCTCTAAGACTAAAGGCACTGAACGTGACTCGGTACTCGTATCCTTTTCCATATCACAGATGCAGGAGACTGCAGCAGAAGACTGTACGCCAGGGCTACTCAACCGCAGCCCGCAGCCTGTTTGTTTGCGGCCCGCGGTGCGGTTTGGGTTTACGCAGGGCTCAACACATGGCCCACGGGTGGGAGCCAAAACAAAAAAGGAGTTAATATTATGGTCTTCTGTTGATATGCGTTTTAATAGGTAAATTCCTGGACTGTCATTGCTCATGAAAAGTGCTGACATACGGGTGGAAATTGGGTAAATATCGTATTTTATTAATATCAGCAGAACTGACTTAAATGGGGCCTGTGTGTTGTGTAGTCTTGCCTTAATCTTTGTATTCATGCCTGTCAGTGTGAAAGAAGCTAGTTGCATATATTTGCATACATATTTGCATGAATATGCAAACACACTTAAGTTGCGGCCCTCGACATGTGCTGTGAGTATCATTGTGGCCCCTGGGGCTTCCAAAGTTGAGTAGCCCTGATCTAAGGGCTCTGCTTCTAAAGGCAATAGCTACAAC